GATCACATGACCCTAGCGAGACGGACATTTTTAATATTCAGTTGTGAAGACCAACGACACTAAATAACAGTTTCGGAAGACTTTGTGTAATTATAAAGATAAGTCGGTAAAGTTTTATTTGATGTTTTTATTGTTTTTTAATCATGGTCAGGTTGCCATTTATGGTATACAAAGAAACACCTGTCTGAAGAGCGCCCGCCTTAATAGGTGGTAAAGGAAATGGATCGCCAATAGCTTATTGCTCGATTCCCATCCGTCATCCGCTCTCGTTTCACTTATAAATAAATTTATAAACTCCAATAAAACAATATATATGTTAAAGTACGTTAACGTGTTAAGAAAGATAGCCCACAAAATAAAATAACAATCAAAACATAAAATACTTTACCGTTAATAATATAATAAGCAATTTGTTTTGAATTATGATTTTTTTCCTATTTTGCGGTTTACTACCTTATTACTGTCTCATATGTCATAAAAGATAGTTGTTTGTCCAATGCTTATTAATAGGAATTACAATTAAAATTGCTAACACGTGACCAAATATATTGTACCTCCCTTTATGATAGTATTTGGGTACGGTAGATTTTCTAAATTAATAATATTAAATTTAAAATATGAATACTTAATAAAGGGTTACTAGTACTAAGTATGTCTTAAACAAAAAATCATTACTGGTAAATCAAGCCCATTAATTAATTTTACGGCTGTACTATTGATACAAGTCAATGGAGCGGGACCGAATCAAGTTTTTTCGTAATAACTTCGCTTATTTGATTTAAGTATTAAATATAGACGTTATACACCTGCATACATGTGCTTACTTACTTACTTAATATTTACATACATATGTGAACATGTTATGAATATTCAAAAACATATATGTATATGACAGCACATCAAGCTGCTACATATTATCAAAGTTTTTCAACCTATTTTCAATTTTATTACAATACAACAGAGTTTAAAATATAATCAAGAAAAATTACGAAATGATGGAGCTTGAGCTGCTCCTATCTTTACATAGAGCTAAAAGGAAGTTTATTCTGTATGTTTGTATATATGATTTGACATGTTATTTATAGGTAAAGTACCTGTCCGTATGAGGTCCGTGTTATATAGGAACTAGAACACGTATTAGATATCACAGAATTAGGAAGTAACAATGAGTGATTGAATAACACATGTTGATAAAATCAAGATATTATATGCTTAAGGTCAAAAAGGTTTATTGATATCAAGAAGCACATAGCAATTGTGGTTTGATTACTTCCTCTAATTCGCGTTTAAAGTACGGAATTTGGAAAGTTTTCCTCAATTTCTATGACTATTAAGTATTGTTCCCCGAATAAGGTAATAATAATAATCTTAATAATCTTTTATTATTACTCAAAAAAGTACACAAGTATACATTAATTTGATTCTAGTCAAAATGTCGTATATAACATTAAAACTCTGACCTCTGTACTAGGGAAATACCTGTATCACAGAGATCAGTGCCCTCACATATTGGTAATATTGTGATCCCAGTATAGACTTTACATAACCAATAAAAATAAGATTAAGATTAACAAACAGCATAACAGAAGAGATAAAAAAATCATAAATTAAATAAACAAAAATGAGATGGAAAACAGATGATAAACTACGTGTGAGTGAGTGTGTATGTGCGTGTGTGTTATTGTGTGTGTGTGTGTTTGTGTGCGAGTGTGTGTGTGTGTGTGTGATGTATCTGTAAGAGTATGTATTTGTTTGAACGTACCACGAGACTGAAAGAGTGCGTGCAAGAGAGTACATGCTAGAATGCATGATTCTCAATTCCATGTTCCCCACCACTACAGACGGCCCCCCATCAGCTCCTCAGTGCTGTGATAGTCCAAGCCAAGCAGGAATTTTCTGACTACCGCTTTACATTGAAATTTGCTAATGGAAAAAGGTGGGTGTCTTTAGACCAGTTTGCTTTATCGTTGGTCGCATCATCGATTACCACCAAGCGTGATAGCGGCCAAAGACGCCACCACGCCTGGCCCGGCGCTAAAAAAAATCGCACATATTTATAATGGTATACCGTAAAGGTACATTTCCTAAGCATGTTGTTATCTCCTGTGTATGTATAATACAGGTAAGCATGGATTACCGGGTATTTATTAACATACCCATATGTACGTATATTATACTAGCTACTCTCGCGCGGTTTCACCCGCTGCTCGGCTCCATTTGACCGCAGCGTGATGTTTTATTTTATATATTAGCACTCAGGAACATTGTAGCTATATGTCAGTGAAAGAATTTTGGCCATCCGACCAGCAGTTCCAAAGATTACCCCTTACATACAAACTTACAAATTTTACCTCTTCATAATATTTGTATAGATGTAGGTGCTGAATGAAAAATAAGAGGCGAACTTCGGTCTCTTTCAAAGAAAAATTATGTTTACATGATTACTGTCTATTTCCAAAGATATAAAAATAGATTTACGATATACATGTCCAAACTTAAGCTAGTGCTTGTGTCTGTCAACATAAAAGAAACCGCAATAAGAAACTTATCAATGAGTCATAAGAATTTGCACCCTATATCGACCTAATAGATTTGATTGTTCGCTACAAGATTTTGTTAGCTACTGATAGGTTTACGGAGTATAAAAACGTTATAAAAAGAGTATGGATAAAACATATTTTGCTTATGGAATGTTAATTAGAATAGTTACAATTGAAATGTTATAACTATTATAGGTATTCATTTTACTGGAAACAACTTCATGTTATTTGAGAGAGACAGTAGGTACTATTTACGGTTGGTGCGGTGGCTGGGCAACTGGCTGCCGTGCAACGTGTTGCGGGTTCGATTCCCGCACGGGACAACACTTTGTGTGATCCACAAATTCTTGTTTCGGGTCTGGGTGTCATGTGTATGTTACATTGTATGTTTGTAAACGCACCCACAACATAGGAAAAAATCCTAAAGTGGGGCAACGTTTTTATAATTAATAAAAAAAAAATTAGTTCATACATTAAACATACTTTATTAACTTTTCAACTAGATTCTCACATTAAAAAATATTCCCACTGGATGTGTCCCGGCCACCGGTAGTCAATTTCAGATGTTTTGCTTTCTTTCAGGCTCTTGACCTAACTATATAACGTAAGCCACCTACTCAGGTGTTGATCAAGGCTTTTAGCCATGAGGCCATTGGCAGAACATTTATTGAATTGACTTCATAGTATCAAAGTTAAAGCAAATTTAAATAAACAAATGCCCTAAAAATACACACCGTAAAAATACTCAGACATCTTTGTTTGTTAATTCAAACGAGTAGTTCGAAGTCTACAAAATCTGTTCCATTTAAAAAACTTATATAATTTTCACAGACAAGGTATAAATGAATTAGCACACGTTTGGCTTGGCTTTGGATGTGTTAATCTTTTATTATTTACTCGATTTGGAATAATTATTTCTCCTGCAACATGTACGCCCCACATCTGCATCTACAAATTTTGCTTAGATATCTATTTATATTTCTACCCAAACTGCGTTTTCAAAACATGAATTAAAATTAAAGATGAGAATTTAAATTTAGAACAATAGTTTTTAATGAAAGCTTCAACTTGTCACCCAGAAATATTAAAAATATTAAGACATCTATACCGTCTGTTTTTTTATACTGTAATACATATATATTTCAACTATGTAATAAATACATTTGAATTTTGAATATAGAAGGTAAATTATTCGAACTAACTGTCATATATGTTCCTCTGGTGGGTACTTTCAAAAGATAGTAAAACAGATCCATGATGATATAAAAATATACTTAATAAGAAAAAATAGAAATATATAGGCATTTCTTCATCAAATAAACATTAATGTCCAAAATAACAATATCAAATTTAAAGATAACATTTTAATGGCATTAGACCAACATACAACCACGCTTTGTTTTTCATCCAAAGGCACTGTTCAATAACCTCTTCAATGATGAAAACTTGATAATAATATAATCGACCAGTCATGTTCATTTAAGCCAATATTGCAGACTAAAGTCCTTATAGCAGAAATAAATTAACTAGTGATAGTATTCCATGTATAACGGAGTATGAGTCATGTAGTTGCAATTTGTATTCTCTGTGATAACACAGATGGTCAAGTCAAAACTGTTTTTTAGTTAAAAACAGTCTGAAACTCTTTCTTGCCCCATCCAAAACGAAAGAAGACATTGTGTAATTAGCTTCCTTAAAAGAGTCGCTTAAAAGACACCCTGTGAACCTTTATGTTATTAATTACTTGCATTGTCTTTTAGTCTTTGTTACGAAATCAATTACTGGTTAAGTTGCAAAAAATAACAATTTAAGAAATGAGAGAGTGCTTGCTTAAACTTCTTCAAATAAAGATGGTTTCAATAGACAAAAAAGTAATTAACTTTTGCTATACATACTACAGTTTAGATTTTATAAGAAAAAAAAATAGATAAACTCATTACATTAATGTTTATGTGAATGGAGAGAACTGAGCAAGGAAATTAATTAATTATTTTAAATTGATTGCAGTGAAAAATAATAGTCACTCATTGAATACAAATATATAATTTATTTATTTATCATCACAACTTATTCCGAATACATTGATGTAATTATAAATAATGACCTTAATATTAGCTTAATCTAAATTTATAAAAAAATATTGCACCAACATATTCTTAACAATATCAATGACAGAAATTTTAATATCATGGTTAGGTATTCATCACATTACTAAAATCAAATATGTGTTTAGTAATAAAAAAAATCACAATAATATTTGTCATAATTATCATTAACCACCTCGGATGTTATTAAGGTTGATTCAATTTATAAAATAATCTTAAAATAACTTAAACTTACAACTCGCCTTTTGAATCACAAGTAATCACAATACTATCAAATAATTATCATAAATACACAACTAATTTGCAATAATTTAAACTCCTAACAATTATTATGTAAAACAAAATGTAATACTTCTCACTTGAATAATTCCTCAGGCACGGGTGTATATTTAAGACCCGTGTCATTCAGTAAGGTCACCACCCAGGAGTCCTCAGGGATCAATCCTGACTGCAACAGTTTGACAGCCGCCGCCACGTTGGCGCCGCTAGTGTAGCCCACGTACAGACCTTCCTTCTCACCAACCAACTTCATGTACTTCACTGCCTCCTCGTCAGTCACAGCCAATGTACCATCCATATGTTCATATTTGAACAAATCGGGAATCCAACCATATCCCGATCCCTGAAGCAAGTGAAGGGGTTTCGTGATTGGGCAGCCCGCGATAGCTTCAGCACCAGCGGGTTCTACGACGTATGTCTTGATATCAGGGTTTTGTTCCTTCAGATACCTTGAGGTACCAGCAAAAGTACCAGAGGTGCCCACGGTCGCTACAAAGGCGTCTACGTGGTGTCCAGTCTGCTTCCAGATCTCGGGCCCCGTGCTCTTGTAATGAGCATCAGCGTTAGCCTCGTTGTGGAACTGGTTAACGAAGTATGCATTCTGTTCCTCCACAATCTTCATGCCAACCTCTTCAACAGCTTTGACGTCGGCGTATGTTACATTTCCATAGGTGCCTTCAACTTGATCTACTCGAACACACTTAGCGCCGAGAGCTTCCATGTGAAGCGCCCTTTGAGCGCTATTACCTTTGGACATAGCGAGTGTCAAGGGATGTCCCAACACAGCGCACACCACAGCCAGACCACAGCCTTGGTTGCCAGAGGTAATTTCTACCACAGGCTCGCCGGGCTTCAGCTCTCCGGATTCAAGAGCACGGTTAATCATGCTCAATGATGAGCGGCACTTGATTGATGCACCAGGGTTCATGAACTCACATTTTGCCAATATGCGTCCGGGGCCGGTGTACAGGCGGTCCAATGCCACGATGGGTGTGTTGCCGATCAGTTCCAGAGCCGATGCCTTGATGTCGGTCTCCAGGTATTTGGGTTGTTCGTTCTTCTCGATGGGAGCCATTGTTGCACAGTTGTAGGTAAGTTTGTAGTTTGTATGAAGCGCTTTGAATAAGCAGATACCAGTTGGATACTGAGTTGATCGAATGCGGTAGCGTTGTTATAAAGCGGTCGAGGAGATCGCGTCTCGTGTGCACGTTGTCACTCGGCCCGGTGCGCGCCGCTCCGACTTTGTCGAGGCGAGCGCAAACTACAGCCCGCTGTGTGCAAACACACTAACGAGCCTCGATTGATATTCTGACTGACTCCCCGACGCAGTTAAAATTCAAGAGCCGAACAGTTTATTTAAATATTCATTATTAAGTGTCGATAATTGTTTATGATTATACATTTAAATCGTTATCAGTAGTTGTGTTGAGACGTTAAGATAGACACGAGGCTATTCTATTTATTAATTTCAATATACAATCCCATGTTTGTAATGACGGAATTGTACTATCGCTGTTGTGTTTGGCATTATAAGTATGTATGTTGTGTTCGCTAAATGATAATTTTCAACGAAGTTTGAAGTGAACATAGCTGCGGTAAACGAAACATGTACATTATGTACGTAAGTGTCGTCAGTAAAATTAAGCAAATATTTTGATTCTCTCATAGTTGCTTAGTAGTTGAGTATCATTTATAGTGAGTTGTGCGACTATCTGCAATCATTGTGGTTTTTCTTTACACTGTTGCCTTGTTTACTTACCTTACGCTTCTGAATTTCGAACGATACCACATAGGTATCTCGGTATAAATTTCCTTGCACCAGTATTATGTCTTGTATTGCTAAAAATATTTAGATATGACCTCTATGTGCGGCATTGTGTCAGTTAGTCTATACGAACTATACTTATTATTTATTTTTACGTACAAGTAATTTGTGTAGTAAAAATATTATTTATAAATAATGTGTTTAATCCGACCTTATACAAATACAACCGTGATTATCTTACATTAGACACATATTAGATAAATAGCCCTGTCTATTATTTATCAAAGAGTATCTAATCTATACATACAAGTAGGTATATGTTACTTACTACGTAAGCCGTTCTTTACCTTTGGTGCTATTGCGTCATATTAAAATTGCTTTTTTTTTCATTTAATTAAAATTTGCAATAAGTGGATTGTGTATGTGAGTGTTCGTAATACATCGAAGGAGGCAATCCTTATGCGAGGCCATGCCAATTTTTTTAATCGAAAATAATATTGAATTCTTTACGGATGTGAGATAAAAAAAACACAAACGTCCAGATTTTAGGAACTCTGAAATAAAAAAAGCGTGTTTAATATTAGGCATTTAAGTTATATGTACTATATACTAACTTATGCAGGTAACTTTTCGTCGCTTAGTGGAAATGTAATAATATGTATTACATATACAAATGTATTTAAAATAATTATCATTTGATATTATTAGTATAGTATAGTATTGAAATCTTTCGTTTGTTAAGATTAAAATTTCAAGTCGCTTATATGGTTTATCAACATGTAGCAAAAGGTTATTGCAAAAATTACATTGACATTAATTGAAGTAAATGTTTGCGACTATCACGTACGTAATAAAATTAACTACAAACATTAAATTCCGTTGCGCAAGCGCCGCCCGGTCTTATATAACACTACGCCAGAGGGCAAAACACACAAAAACACAAATAGTTGTTAGCCTCTGACGACTGGGCGATTAACTCACAAGTGGCAATCCGGGGACATTCGGCATTCGACTATTTCAACCCGGCTTAACAAAAATAAACTTTAACATCGATAACTAAAGCTCTTATTCCTTTACTCAACTCGTCATATCAGTGATACGAGAGGTCAGACTAACGTATACCTTAAACATGACACAATAAGATCCATTTATAAATGTATATCACTGGCTATGTGCAGATGTCACGCGACTAGGGTCTATTGTTAACAAATACGGGTACAATTCGCGAACAATGCAACACATTATTTTATTTGATAGAGGCATGTAACGCACCAAATGTCAGCTGTTACCTAATTGAGACATCAATTGAAAATGGAATCAAAAATATGGCGGGTTTGTGACCAAATGGCGCTACTTTATTTGTAAGCAATAGCTGTGCCAGCAATTTTACCATACCTCCAGGAACTAAACCATTTTCTGAGGATGGTAATAATTTAGGTACTAATCTCGCAAAGTTTCATCGGCTGCTCGTGTCCTACAGATCGTAGCGTGATGTCTTATAGCCTTTCTCGATAAATCGACTAACGAACACAAAAACAATTGTTAAATTCGAACCAGTAGTTCCGGAGATTAGCGCGTTCAAACAAACAAACAAATAAACTCTTCAGCTTTACAATATATAATATTGTTTAAGTAATATAATTTCTGACTACCTTTAATCATTTTGTTTTCTTTTTTGTTCCTTTGTGTCGTCTATCCATACTAGATTTTTTTCTGTTCTGTGTGTCTCTGTCGTGGGCCCATAAGTAAATTTAAACATATTGTCAAAATCTAGAACAATTATTGACTGACTCCACCGTCGGCGTAGTGGCTGGACAACTGACTGCTGTGCAACGTGTCGTGGGCTCGATTCCCGCACAGTACAACAGTTTGCATGATGCACAAATTCTTGTTTCGTTTCTGCATAGCTTGTGTATGGTTGTAAACGCACCCACGACATAGAAGAAAATCCGATCCATATATATATGGATCGCAAATTTTAGTTTTTCCTTGATGCAATCGAAAGGTGCGATACGTTGTTGCGTTGCAGTTAATGCACGTTTCTCGCGGTAACTAAGGAAGAGTCTGACGCGCATCGTGTGGCAGGTTCGATTCCCACACGAAACCACTCTTTGTGTAATAATACCCCAATTTTAATTTTAGTCCCTGAGTGTCATTTGTTTGTTTATAAACGTACCTACGACACAAGACAAACCCCTAATGTATAATATTATTATTATCGTTGATAAAAAAAGTCAATTGCCAAGTCATGGCGCCAACCGTGGCGTTAAGCTATTGTTATGTATGTATGTGTATGTTATCTTAGATAAAACATATATTTTATTTATAGCTAAAATGCAAGTATTTAAATACTTACTGACTAAGCTATAAGAAAAGTAATTTCATTCCAAATCAGCACATTTTTTGGCCAGGTGTCTGTTTCGAAAGCTATTATATTATAACTATGTATATGTATATCTTTATTCTCTAGATAAGGTTTATTTAAGTATTAAAAAAATACTAAATAAACGTACGGTGTGTGGTGTAATCATTTCAATCTGTATCATAGTCATAAATAGATAGATAGATCAAATGAAAGTTATATGGGTTTAAAATATATTTTTATACCTACCTAAACATTTATTATTTTTTAATGCAAGACTTACTACAATTACGGTGCCGGATTTTTGACAAATGCGTAATTAATTATGGGTAGTATTTTATCTATTTTCACCTGCTAAACCTGAAAACGATTATTAATGGCAAGAAAACTGCAATTTCACCTTGTATGCATTAACAAACTCGTCACCCAGTACTTCCCTTAACTTTGAGGAAAAATAAAGTTCGGTTTAATTACTACACCGACTGTGCTTGGTTTTTTTTATTAAATAGATATAAATTATTTATTTCAGACCAGAAACTCATACATAAGTGTTTGTTATTTCTTTTCTAATGTTAGGTAGACAACATTAGTAACGAATATTTATCAATTGCTGTCAACATTTTTAAGATGAAGAATCATTAAATGACTTCTTCTGCCCTGGGTGAAGCAAGAAGAAGTGTTAAAGTTACATAATCACTCCCTCCTTCTTCTCTCGTTGGGGCTGGGGCTGCCGTAAATTGGCTTTGTCTTGGCTGAACATCAACCCTATTAGATCCCATTTATGGTGGTCTAAAGGCTTTTTGAGTCTTCGGGTCTGGTGTTGGCAGGGTATCGAGCTATGCCCAACGCCCTGAGTCTCTCCTTCTGCATTGGCTGGGACGTGAGGAGGATAGTTCACTCACGCACTCCCCTTCATACTTCGCAAGCATGGTTGATTCGCAGTAGGAAGAGACGGCGTTCCCAGTTCCTTTCACTTCACACCATGGCCTCTAAAGCGGGCGCAAGGGTAGTAACACTGCATTTTGCTGTCACAGAGTATCACCGTTCTCAGTTAACCCTATCCATTACAAATGACTTCGGAGTCGGTATTAAGTTAAAAATTCTTTGTGTGATTAACCAATTGTTGTCCTTGGTCTAGGCATAATAAGTACGTTTGTATGTGTGTCTGTATTTGTAACTTTCCCCACAAAGGAATACAAGGAAATGTTAATGTAAAGGGTCATGTTTAAAACGCAAATAAAGACGTAGATAGGAACTATTGTTTTTATTTTACATATATCTTATAAAATAGATAGATATGAGTGATAGACTTCTAACACTATCGTTGAAGGAAGTCTTGTATGTATGACATGTCTATTACAAAATTTGACAAGTTTCTCAAGTATCCCAGTCCGGAACAAAGCTGGTACTTCTGGCTGTCAATATACAAGAAACCACATATCTCTATCATGCATCTAATACATGAGTTACAACGACAAATTGTTAGTCGGTGTTCAAATTGTTTTTCAAATTGTTAATAGTTAGGCTTAAGGAATAAGGCGGTGTGTTAAACGCTTTTTCTCTTTCTTTTACATGAAAATCTGTGATGCATAAATTCCCTTAATGTCGTAGTGGCCCAGAGGTTTAGGCGCACTAGCAAGTACCAATGTGACTTTTTCCGACTGATAATATGTACTTTCTATGATTATTTAGACACCACTGACATACGATGAAGGAAAACATCGTGAGGAAACCCAGACTTATAATTTCTTATTATAAGTTTGAAATCGCCAATCCGCCTTGAGGCTTGCATATTGTCACAATATGTCAGATACAATTCCAGACTTAATCTTACTCTGAATTTTGCCATCTCTCACCCAGGATGGAGCGAGTTAAGCGGATCCCTTCCCTGAAGACATGGCGAGGCCTTAGCAGGGTACACCGTACCGTATGCTCTACCATGTCTTTCGGATGATACCCAGGTGTTTCCTCCCACCGAGAGCAGTATCCCAATCAGATCCGACCAATTCTAGAGCTGCACAACTCGATGTCATTTTAGATGTCGTTAGTTATTAATGGTAGGAACCTTTATTAATATTCGATCTGGTGCTAAGCGCCTATATTGGCTGAGTGTTATTCCGATACTGTTTTATCAGTTCTTTTGGCAGAGATAGCGTTGTTATACACTGTTATCATATAAATTACGTGCAGCGTCACAAACAGACCACGTCAGGACTATTAATGATTATAAAAGTATTAATACTGTAACTCATTGCATGATTATAATTAACTAGCTACTCTCACACGGTTTCACCCGCTGCTTGGCTCCATTTGATCATAGGGTGATGTTTTATACTTATATCACTCAGGAACATTGTAGCTCAGTCAACATTGTAGTATCAGTGAAAAAAATTTGGCAATCCGACCAGCGGTTCCAAACATTGCCCCTTATATACAAACTTACAAATTTTACCTCTTTATAATATATAAGTATAGAATAAACGTTGAATATAATAGACCATTTTAAATAAAATGTCCAAACCTGAAACTTCTTCATAGAAATTGCAACTTCTGCAATTTGCAGTGAAAATTAACCATGAATTATGAGGAATTATGAAGCACTGGCTTCCGTCCACACCTTCGCTTCAGTAGTATTATGATAAAAAGCCTATGTGTTAATCCAGGGTATCACCTAAATACATATCAAATCTCAACCAAATCAGCTCAGCCAAAAGTGAAAATATAACAAGCGTAGGTATGCTTGTTATTCTTTCCATAAATTTTCACAAAATTTCACATTTTTATAATATTATTTAGTAGGATTAGTAGGATCACAGCGAATGATCTCAACAAATAATGTAAAGACCGTGACTAAATAATAATAAATCATTTATTTTAAAGTAACCAGGACTCACAAAATGTTAGTAAAACTTACATCTATGTTAGTAGTCACAACTGTTTTTTTTAACTTAACTAAAACTAGTTTTAATAAAATTTTCATCCAACCAAAAATTTAAAAGAAATATAAGAAGTCCCAGTAAGGATCGGTTTTCCAATGAGCCTCTGGTTATTAAGTTCCTGATTTTTTTTATCCTTAAGTAACATTCGATTCAAATTAAGCCTATGTCGGGGTCTGTCTAGTACAGACACCAACACCTACTTTTTAATTTGAAAAAAAAACTAGTAAAAACCGCATTAAATATTATCAGTACCTACACATGAGTCACTTATCTCATTTAAATTATATTTTATCTTGTACTACCTATATTTATATTTCTATGATTTGCATAAAATACTGATTAGATAAAATCGTACGTACCTATTGTTAATTGACAGGAAACTTCATATTAAATGTACCACCTAGTTATGGATGTGGTCCTTTCACCCCCAGTGGAACAACTATGTGCTATTTATGTATTAAGAATTATATTAATACCTCTTTCTTTAGCCTTTTTTATAGAATAGGAGACAAAAGTAAGGACAAATGATTAGCGCCGCCAATGGCATTAACAAAGTTTGCTTCATATTTATTCCTTTATTAAGTTTATGCTCACTGCTTATTAGTATTTTAAATCAACCCTTTGTGTAACCTGTCCAACTCTTCTTTACTTTACTATAATCATCCCACATACTTAAAAATAAACGGATTTCTACGATATTAATGTTTTTGTTGTATCCAGTATAATTACGCTTTCCTTTTGTAGTATCTTTTTCAATATAGATTTTTACACATAATCGCCCAAAAACACCATTTATTTGTCACTTTCATTCCACGCTTGCCTTGAATTTTTCTTTTCAATAACCATTGTAACTATTTTCTCAGTTTAAAAAACTACCACATTTGTATTTTTAAATTTAATAAAAACTATCATCGCCTTCGCATTATATGGCATTTTTATAATTGTCATATTTTGTAATTAATTCATGAATGACTAAACTTGATCATCTGTTTACTGATGATACCCATGCTTGAGACCACTAGGGTATCATCAGTCCTTGTTATTTACATTGTTTAAACATTTGTGAAATCTTAGCAAGAACTCTTGTCACGAAAATTATTCGCTACTTAAGCTAATGAATTTTTTTTTTATATATTTAGCTTCAGATTATCACGTCATTACTGGATGTAAAAGAGCGAGAAAATAAGAACTGGTTGGTAGTAAAATGTGATAATGTCGATGATCGATCAAATTTTGATTGATTACTTGGACACATGTATACGGTGCACCGAAATCTATAACTTCTTATCTCGGTACTTGAATGTATGTTGAACTTGACAATTGATAATATGTATATTTGTATACTCTTCTGCAATTCACATCTTAAATAAAATTTCCTTAGTGCTTTAGACAACATTTTTATTTATAAAATTACGAAACTGCTTAAAACTGCTTCTTATGATTTATTTCTTACCTGTCACGTCTTAATAAACCTATGATAAGTAAAATAATATCACAACAACTTTATACTAGAGAAATTAAATCATAGACTTCACAAATAGTTATTATTAATTACACTGTCACTTTTCACTTCGTTAGTTCCTCTGGTACTGGCGTATATTTAAGTCCAGTGTCAGCTAATACTGTAACCACCCACGCATCCTCAGGAACTAATCCTGACTCTAGCAGCTTCGCAGCAGCCGCCACGTTAGCGCCACTAGTGTAACCCACGTAGAGACCTTCTTTCTCACCAATCAACTTCATGTACCTACTAGCTTCTTCGTCAGTAACACTCAACGAACCATCCATGACTTCGTATCTAAACAAGTCAGGTATTAATCCATATCCCGATCCTTGTAGTAAGTGAAGAGGCTTCGAGATTGGACACCCAGCAATAGCTTCTGCACCAGCTGGTTCGACCACATACGCTTTCATATTGGGGTTTTGTTCCTTTAGATATCTCGTGGTGCCCATAAACGTGCCAGCAGTACCAACTGCCGCTACGAAAGCGTCTACGTGATGTCCAGTCTGCTCCCATATCTCCGGTCCCGTGCTTTTATAATGTGCATCTGCGTTGGCTTCATTGCTGAACTGGTTAACGAAGTATGCATTTTGTTCCTCCACCAACTTACTACAAACTTCCCGAACTACTTCAACGTCAGCGTATGCTACACTACCATAGGTACCTTTTACTTGATCTACTCGAACTACTTTCGCACCTAGAGCTTCCATATGAAGTGCCCTCTGAACACTGTTACCCTTTGACATAGCGAGTGTCAATGGATGTCCCAACACAGCGCACACCACAGCCAGACCGCAGCCTTGGTTACCAGAGGTAATTTCAATCACAGGATCTCCGGGCTTCAGCTCACCGGATTCAATAGCTCGATTAATCATGTTCAACGACGAGCGACACTTGATTGATGCACCAGGGTTCATGAACTCACATTTGGCCAATATTCTCCCAGGACCTTTGTAAACGCGGTCTAATGCCACAATAGGCGTGTTGCCAATCAATTCCAAAGCTGATGCCTTGATATCGCCTTTCAAGTATTTAGGTTGTTCATTATTCAGGTTCTTCTCGACGGGAGCCATGGTTACTCAATTGAGGGTGGGCTTGAGGAAACACTTTCAGCACTTGAATGTTGTTCGGAGACTGAGTTGTTTGACTGCGATACCGTTGTTATAAAGTACCGTCGAGGGAAACGCGGGCCGTGTGCACTACGAATTAGTCGTGAAAACTTAAAGTCAGCGCGGCGGTGTGCAACAAAATACTGAGCGGTGAACAATGACATAAACATTCAAGACTACTTCTATATCTGTCTTAAAATAAAAGTAAATAGTACATTGAATATTTATTTTCATTGGTGATTATAAAAGCAATTATTAGGTTAAGATTACTATTGCTCTTCAAGAGAATAATAATGATCCCATACGTCTTTACAAAGTAAACAGAGTAATGATGTGTCACTGTGGTCAACAATAAACATTGGATAATGGATGTGTATTGAATGTTGGTATGTATGCTGTGAATGTGTGCCATCAAAGCCGTTTTGGTGTCCAACGTAATTTGCTCTCCCCAAGATGCTTACGTGCTTAATTATAATATCTTATTCAAAACAACTTAAGTAGAAATTGAGTGGAGATGCAGGTGGTTTACCAAAACTCCTGGTAATTTTTTTCCAATTCTACAAGAAAATATCCTTAATGATGTTAAATTCTCGGAGAAAGTCGCAATGCTACGAAAGAATGCGCCACAAAAAATCCCTATCAAATCTTATAACAATTTTTTTTTTTTTGTGTTATGCATCATTTTACCCATCTCTAGTTTTCATCAATGAAACGTCATAAACTAATAAATATTTATCATAAATACTAAAAATATTACATGACTTAAGACAATTTATATTTATGTACTAAATAAGAATTATAAAGATTATTATCTAAGAAACCATTTTTATCTCTGAAAGGTTTATACTCGTGTTCACTTTATCAGTCACGGCACATTTAACTCACTACTACCTAAAGGATAAAATTACATTAATTCACCGCACACACTACATGTGTATGTAAGGTTCAGTCAGGCACTCTACCAATTCTAAAATGACCAAAATACCTTTGAAGAATAGAGTCAATGGTTGAGGACTGCTTTAATTTATAGCATATTGGTTGTAAACCATTGAACTTTTGCTACAAAGAAATTTTAGTCATTTTAAAATTGGTAGAGTGTAATTGCATTTTTGACCCCTGACTGTATATGATGCAATCTTGCTAATTAGCCATCCCCATTGCTTAGCAAGCAGCTTGGAGACTGCAACACTTCCAGGACGTTGCTTCCCGGAGACCCTGCTAGTGCTGTAGAGAACGCTGCTTTTTTTCCAGAAGTAAATTCATCGTATGACTTCTTCTGCCCTGGCTGGGACGAGAAGGTGTGTCAGACTCTCACTGACTAAAAACCACCCAGTACCTTTAATCAGAAGAAGGAACTGAGTAGAGAAAAGTCTGATTCATATCACATAACAAGAAAATATAACTGATTATTAATTTGATGAAAGAAGACAGGTGTTTGAAAATTAGAAAACACAGAGAGAGCTCGCTAGCACTTTAACTAGCTAAGCTAGTGGTAGTGGTAGTACTCCTTCTTAAAAGGCCGACAACGCGCGACTGTGACTCTTCTGACGCCGCAGGCCATGGGCACATTTGCCTCATTTGGAATCTCATATCTGGATCATCTCTGGACATAAATCATCTTTAGGATATAAGTAATTTGTATACACTTCATCGTACACTATAAAACATTTTTTTTTATGTAATCTGTCGGCAAACGAGCTGACGGATTACCTGATGGTAAGCAATCAGCGCCGCCCATGGACACTCGCAACGGAGGAGTTACGAGTGCGTTGCCGACCTTTTAGGGATTAGGGATTAGGAGGTTTAGGGATTGAGGAAGGGGAAGGATTGGGCCTCCGGTAACCTCACTCACACGGCGAAACACAACGCAGTTGTTATTTCACGCCGGCCACAAAGCCTTTACAGCCTTTATAACCTTCCTAATATGATAGACGCAAAAATTTGTAAGTTTGCCTTGGTGGATGTTTACTCAATCACGTAAAAAACTACAAAATGGGTTCGAATGAAATTTGGTAAAGAGATAGATTATAGTTTGTAGTAAAATATAAGGCTACACTTTAGCCTGGTACTGGTGCCGAAGCCGTTAGTAGAAGCTAGTCATTCATAAACGACACTTCAAGAAAAAACGGTCGCCGAAAAACATCTAATTTCTTTTACTTATAAATAGGTATACTATACATACAATGTGTATGCCTACAGCCTACATAACCAGTAGGTACAAATACACATCTATTTATCAATTCGCAAAGACCACCAACGTCTCTATTACGCAATAACTTACTAGCAATGACAATAAAAAAATCAGTATCCTTCAATTGTTACACAATAAGTCTTATTTGGACCGAAAATGTCGGATTCCCACGGGCGCAGGTGCACCTCCGTTGAGGTTGCATACAATGCGGAGCTAACTCGCATTCCGACGAATAGCGCGCACCGACGCACCATAGATCGTGACTTGTATTACATGCTACGTTAAACGATACGGTTCTGGATTCGGCTTAACTTAATATTTGTATCAAAATATTTTACGGACAACAAAGCTGTTTTCACACAATTTAATTTCAATTCGACATGACACAAATTGAGAGATATTGAAGGAACTATCAACAAAAACTTTTGTGCCAAACTGTTGTCTGCAGCTCGTTCTTTCGCCAATAAACCATCACAGATGGGACCAGCAGAAGGAAAAGAGGTGGTTTTTATTTAGTAACTAAGAGTATGAAACACTCTCTCTCTCTCTCTCTCTCTCTCTCTCTCTCTCTCTCTCTTTCTCTCTCTTGCCATACAATGCGCAAGAAAAGTCATTTGACGATCCTCCTTTGTCGAAAAAAAAGTTCGTTATTGCAGAAGAAAAATAAGAAGCAAAACCCTTGCGAAAATGGAAATCGTAGCACTTAAGAATAATATGACTTATAAATCTGATCTACTGTCTAATAAAATAATATTTTGAATATTAAACTACTCGTTGTAAGCATTGAATTATAGGTATTATTAGAATTGACTGAAAGTCTGAATTTTAAAAGCAGAATCTGTCCAGTCCTAAAAGAGAAAATACCCTACGTATGAAATGTCAATGAATATGAAACATTCAAGTACCTAAATGCTTTTCTTATAATTACAACGAACTCATTTACAATTGTATAGGTTTCTGCTACAATTAGTTCCCAAACGAGAGCCCAGCCTACGTGTCAACTACCTTTGCTTTTACTATTAACAAGGAAATGTTGTAAGTGAAACAAAATTAAACGGTTACACCAAATATCGTAACGTGTTCTTGAGTAAAGTTCGCGCTGGTGCTAATGGGCCCCTTTACCTATATGGTGAGGTATGAAATGCCTCCGCCCGCAGCCGTAGTTGGTACCGCCATTTTAGCACTAGTTTCGTGATTTGAGAACAAATGACGACTGTGCACTTGATATGATATTGATATAATATGTACGAATAATACTTTTATATCCGTGGAAGTAACTCGCTGTCATAGCAATCGTCCATTGTTTACAGGTTGAAAAGAAAGTCAATGGTCGAAGGTTGCAGCAAACTCCTTTATATTGTCCAAAAAACGTCGTATTTTGTTCAGAACTTAGTTCTTTCTCCTGTAACGTGGGTGCTTTTACAAATTTACATTTTTACAGACACATTTCAGCCAAATCCAGAAAATATGGGAACTATTTTAGAGCATGAACACGGCGCTGGTTTCCTTTCTAACTTTCAAGCCAAAATGAATAGCAGCTACTACCAATCTAAATAAAACTTGGTACACATAGGTACGCCATATATCATTAAGAAAAAAATATATTTTAAGGGAGACCTAGAGGCAAATTTAAGTTTACAATTAAAAAATCACATGTAAATAGTTTTAAAAGTGTTACAAAATGCTTAATTAAGTATTTCGACCTTTATATACTAGTCAGTAGTTCAGTACCAAGTTTCATTAAAATTAGTTTAGTAGTTTCCAAGATTTTGAGCCTACAAAATTGGTTGTAATCCCGTGCCATGTAACATTACGCTAACCATGCAGTCAAAGCAAAAAAATAAATCAACTAAAAAATTAATTTAAGTGCGGCCTCGGCCTGGAGCAGGCTAGGAAACAGCAGGGTTTTTAGTCAGTAAGAGTCTGACACTCCCTCTCGCCATACCCTAGGCGACGGAAGCAATTTGATGCTTATCCATCCGCAAAAAATAATAACTGTTTAAATTATATGTAACGTTGCTAATTGAAAGAAAGAAAAAGTATTTATTAATAATAATTTAATGCGCGTATCTAATAATTTATACTACGCTTCTGTAAACTTATATGAATCAAAATCACGTGACTTTATACATAACTAGCGGCCCGCCCCCGCTTCGCACGGGTCCAACTACTTCGCTATCAAAGGGTCACTTTTTCCCAATTTCCCCCTCTACTTTTCTTATATTTTCTTTGATAAAAACCTTCTCCTAACAATAACAAACACAACAAAAAAAGAATTAGCAAAATTGGTCCAGGCGTTGTTGAGTTATGCGCTTACCAACACATTTTGCGATAAATTTTTATATATAAGAAGATAACTATTAATATGTTTCTTTCAATATTGAAGATGACACGTTTATATAAATCTACTAGCTCTTACCCGCGGCGTCGCTCCCGTCATTTGAATACCTACCCTACACTACCTACTCTACCTACCCTACTCTACCTACTCTACCTACCCTACTCTACCTACCCTACTCTACCTACCCTACTCTACCTACCCTACTCTACCTACCCTACTCTACCTACCCTACTCTACCTACCCTACTCTACCTACCCTACTCTACCTACCCTATTCTACCGACCTTACTCTACCTACCCTACACTACCTACCCTACTCTACCTACCCTACACTACCTACCCTACTCTACCTACCCTACATTACCTACCCTACTCTACCCTACTCTACCTACCCAACACTACCTAACCTACACTACCTAACCTACTCTTTCCTATCCTATGTCCTTCTCCTGGCTCTAAACTACCTCCCTGTCAATTTTCATCTAAATCGGTTCAGCGTAACTAACACGACTTTCCTTTATATATATAGATGTACATGTTAAGTAACCGGGTTAATAGCCGGTTATCTAGAGTTGTGCCCTTCAATGAGTTTGTAATATTCATTCAATGACACAAAACAATTAATTATACATAGCTGCTTCGTTGGTAAAGTAGCCGCAAGCGTGACTGTCCAGCAAAAGGTGATGGCTTCGATTCCCGGATCGAGTAAAGTATTATTAACATGTTTATTTATTTGTGCACACCGAATTTTACTAAGTTTGACATGACATATTAGTAGAATGAGCTAAATGGGTACTGAATATTCCTAAAAGGAATTTTCTTCCGTAGACCTGAGACTGGAAAAGTTTCAACAACATGACACATGGTATAAGTAAATGTCATTTTTATTGTTCATTTGGGACCAATAAAAATTAATAGGCTTTTTATTTAAAACTTTTCGCTGTGGCACTAAACCCTAATGCGAGCTCGATACATAACAATAATAGAACAACATAACATAACTTCCCTTTATATGAGATTTTTCTGGCTGAAAAAAGACCCGTATAACCTAACCTAACCTAACGCAGCTAGAAACTGATGTCAGCTTGTAAAGTAGATGTAAGTATTATTGTGAGATCAGGCTTTCTTTATCAAAATACATGCAGTTGGCGTAGTGGTAGCTGCGCAACAACTCTTCGTATGATCTACAAATTATTGTTCCAGGTCTGGGCACCCACATCGAGAGATGATCTCCGGCCACCGTAAGCGCGGGTCTGCGGACGGCAAGTAAGGTTAGCTCGCCGCTCGACCAGAACCAGACCCGAGCGTAAAGCGCGTAGCGTTCCGCGCGCGCCTCAATGATTCAAAAGACCACCACAGACGGGGCTCAATAGGGCTAATGTTCATGATGTAAGCGCAATGAGGCACTGCGACCTCGGCCCAGAGCAGGAGAATGAACGGGGATTTTTAGTAAGTAAGAGTCTATGTACATTCTCTCTCGCCTTACCCTGGGCGGGAGAAGTCCTTAGATGATTTTCCCCTGACAAAAAAAACAAAGATTTGACTTTGACGTTGACGCAGTCGAAAAACCTATTGTTAGGTAGTAATTTTTTTAATCACTTTATCTCCCATGCTGTGTTATCACAATAACGCTCTACATCTTATCTACATGGTAGGTATCTTCCGCTTCCGTCGATGTAGCTTTTCATATTTTTGCACACGTTTTCAAAGCATTTTCTTACTTTGCCGTTACAACGAGAATCATATCTCAACTTTATCTTTACACTGATAAGATTGGATTTTTTTAGCCATGAATAAGTACTCAATTTGACTACTACGGAAATTCGTGTGCAAACAATAATCATTTTCATTTTGTTTTTGAACCTTTCAGGAGTAAGGCTAAAGGTCCGAAAAATTATGACAGTCATCTAGTTAATGTTATTAAAATCTTGAACTAATCGGATTTTTTGTACCTACTAGTAGGTATTAGATTTAATCAGATTCTGATAACATACCTATATAGTTATTGTATTAGTTTTAATTTCCGGAAGTGTACAATAGGTACCTAGATATCGAGCATGTTGAAAAACATACAAATCTAAAAAAAAGAAAAATAGTTTTAACCTTAGACCACGTTTACTTCCCGCTTGTCGGAATTATTGCGAAAATCCTGGGAACAGTTAATAAAATTATACAGGACAATTTTTTTGTATGTAAAACTTAACTTACTCACACATACCTACACATATTTACCTATAACATAAATAAGTACCGTGTTGCTATCTCTTTACATTTGCTAGTGGTGTGCAAATTCGCACAAAAACCAGCTTGTTTTGCCCACGGCTACGTGGCCTAGCGTTTGCACACGAGTTTTTGCGCGTGAAGCAAAAAAGATAACGTTAACGAAAAAGTTCTTTTCTGTGACGATAGCAATTGTAATTGTAGTGTTGTCATTTAAACAGGGGTCAAGTGGATCTCTTGATAGTGCCGGACCTTTGGGACGGATCAATGTATTCATTACGTCATTGGGTGGACGTGTGCAGATAATTTGGACTAGACAACGGTCTTCTTGTTTTTAGTTGTCTTTTAATATTAAAGTAAGCAACAGTCACTGCTAAAGTAAAGTGAACTTTAAAACTATTGTGGCTTTTAACGGAATTTCCTTCAATTTGAACTTTTCGTTTCGCAATTACGAAATTACAATGATGTACTTACCTACCTACTAAATTAGAGTTTTCGGGTTGAAAATATTTTCTGTTTTATTTCTTTATACTCAAGGTTCAGTATCTATTACAAGATGTTTTTTTTTGTGAGGTGAAAATCATCAAATGACTTCTCCCGCCCAGGGCCGGGCAGGAGGGAGTGTCAGACTCTTACTGACCCCCCTGTTCCTTCTCCTGCTCTGTGCCGAGGTCGCGGTACCTCATTGCGCTTACCCCGCAACCCCGGCTGAACATTAGCCCTTTAGGGCCCCGTCTGTGGTGGTCGAATGGCTCTTTGAGGCGCGCGCGGAACGCTACATCTACTTATTACAAAATGTGAGGTCTAAAGTTACATAGGTATATGGTGTGATATCATTGGGATTTTAGATTTTGTTATTCAAACTCTCATATTATTATAATTTCATTTGGAAACTGACAAATCACATGTGTATACGTACACAGTTAAATAAACATGCTGTACGGATATTAACGAAAAAAATATATATTTCTGTCTGGTAAAAAAATTGAGAGGTGTATATGAAAACAGAACTATTTTCACTTTTTTCATTGAATGAAGACAAATGATATTGACATTTAAAAGACAACAATAAGTGGAACTCACGCCGAAAAGAAAAAGAGGCTAATGTTGGTCTCGCTCTGTGGGAATCAAATCACGACTCACGCGCACCGCACCGCTGTGAAAGGATACCGGGACCACGGGCCTCATACAGCGTGATCAATTTTGTTTTACTTAGAATCAACGGAGACTAATAAATTAAATGAGCAAGCCATGCCAAGTATCGACGACATTATCATGCTAATACTTATGATGTTTGGTAGAGACGTCTGTGATTTATCTGCAATTTTTTTCTAGTAGATCACATCATATTTCGTCAATACAAACATTAGATTTGATAGTGAAGGAAATGAGGAACAAAGGAGCAGAATAAACAGTAGTAGTATCATACACAAACAAAAATCTGAGATTTTTTCAAAATAAATTCATGCACAGAACACCTTAGGAAACATAAAACTATAGCTTTAGTAAAATAATTAAATCCATCCATAAGAAAGTTAACAAAACAAAGAGAGAACAGGACAAAACAAAAACATAGCTAGACGTGTTTTGCGCTGTCTTTGTACTCCGACCAATAAATTACGAACGGCCTATTTAGAACATAAAAAGAGCATGCTGTACAAAATCCGTGGGCAGGTTCGGATGCACCTGAGTATTTCACACCGCGACTCACTGGCGCCGACGGCCAGTCTACTGTAGTCTGTGACCCAGCCGTATAGATCCATGAATGCATAGACCCTACACGTAATTTTAAAGCTGAAGATGAAAACACTGAAGTTAAGAGTCAGTGTTAATTTTTTAAAGTTTTAAAAGTTAAGCTTTTGACCATCGGCAAAAAAGTATTGAAGCCAAATCCACTGCTACCATAGCTCACAAAAATAAAATACATAGATACAGTTAAAATTATATTCCTAATATCATAAATAAGTAACAGACAAAGTTTAAAATACGACACTACTTATTTAAGCAGAGTGGCTTATAAACAATTCGGAACGAGAGCAATGTAAAAGGTTGAATACTTCCGGAACCTTGCTAAAGGTTGCATGTTGTTAGGTCATGTTATGAACAGCCAAAAGGCGTGAGGGTCACTTACTACTCTCTCATTATCAAAGACTGCCAAGGAGAAGAAATTAATAAACAAATCACTGGCATAGTTAAAGTAAAAACGAGGTTGTCTGGTCAAGCAATAAAATTATTAGCAACAGCTGCATACATATGTTTAAAAGTGTCGCAGTCTGGTTTGACAGACACTGAATTGAAATGTTTTCCTATCTTTTTACCAAAACGATTTTTGATGTATTAAATTTTATTCCATTCAATAGCATGTCCAGTTATTCAATATATTCTCTGATTTGAAAAATTCTTCATTTGTTTCGACACAATAAGTATTTTTAGTTTTAAAGCAAGCCTTTATCTGTGGCTATAAAAGTCGTTATTTTTCTTTGAGCCGAGTCTATACATTATGAAGCATAGCCACCCACTCACAGCGAGTGGTGTCGTGGTCCATAATGGTATTAGTGCATTCCGAGCGGCACTGTAGCTCCGATGAATGCTGGACCGAGCTTTGCTGCCCCCGCACCCGACTCCAGTTACATCCACTATATTACACAATAAATGGGAACTGGAAATGATTTGCCATTGCATGACAAAACACCTATAAATTACACTGAGCAAACATTATTCTATAGAATTAACGTTTCAAATTGAAACTGTAATTTTGTAAGAAAGAACCTTTTAGTTCTTTCAGAATTCTTAGTGTCTTGATTTCTTCAAGTATGTGTGGAGTTTTTCCTTAACTTATTGGCTATAGTATTGTTCTTTCTCTTCAAATAGCAATAGCAAATATTACATTCTATTGACAGGAATTTCTACTAAAAACTTCGTCATTACAAACGATTACTGAAAGGCTTTTGTATAAAAAGTACACGGATATCGAATCCACATTCATAAATTTATTTATAAGAATATAACAACTTTAGAAGATGTATTTTATACTTATGAAGAAGCTACATAACAAAAGTTTACGAATTCGGTTCCAAAATTACTGATTTAGTTGCAAGTTGTACGTTTCTTTTCATAGAGTTCTTGAAAGACTTTCATCCTTTGTGGGTAGACTTCGTATTTCATTGTCAACTCTTTGTCTATCACCAGGCAGGCCAATCCTGTGTCAGCGATAGGCTCCCACTTCGTGGACAGCGAAGTGTCGACACTCGGAGTGGGATCTCTGAAATTAAATAAAAACTATTGGTTTATCGTCATCAACATAACTACATAGTATAAAACAAAGTCGCTTTATCTATCCCTATGATAAATTTAATTAAATCTTATCTTAAACCACGTAATGCAATTACGTTACGATAGAGTGATTGAAGAGAAAGCTTTATGTGTATAATAATATCCAGTAAATAGTGAAGAAATTTTTTACCCGCGCGAAGCCGGCGCGGACATCTAGTTGGATTGAACTTCTAATGATATTATTGAAACTATCGGTTATGGTAGTAATTTTAATAGCATCGAAACTTAAATTTTCATTCTTTATAAGTTCAAGTTGATACATTTTGTAAACAAAGTAACTTACCCGTAACGTGCAAAGTTCGTCCACATTTGATTCATAGAATCCCGGACAGCTATGTCTGTCTCGGTGATGGGTCCATCCAATTTATCGCTCTTTACAATATACCCGCCATCGTCTCCGTGACACGCCCCCAGCCTATCGATATTGTAGCATTTTTTAAGATAATTCAAGTTTCCATCATAGGCAAATTCGTAGAAAAAGACGGGCGCATTGTGTTTAGAAATTAATTTAGCAGACACGTAAATACCAGCGATAAAGTCGACATCGGAAAAGAAATCTATTGCGTATTCATCTTCGTCTTGGTAAATTTTCTCCGCCTCCAGATAATTCTTCTTTAGTTTCAATTCCGTGTCTATTTTTTCCGAGACATCAAGCTCAAACGGTAAATAATCCACGAAAACTTTCTCCTCTACGAATTTGTCCAAAGTTGGTTTGTTGTGCGAAATCATTAGCAGCCCTTCTCGAGAACAAAATCCCGACATGTATGGTACTTTATGAAATTCACCTCTAGCTAACAATTCATAGGGCGGCGTACTTAAAAACGGTTCCCAATCGCCAGGCTTCTCTACTGTAGGTACGAAACCAAAATGAAGACCTCCTCGTGCTTTTTCCGTTGACAAAACAAGCATAGACGCCATGATCAATTCATTTGTAGGCATGTCTTTTAAATATTTCAAAAGTTGATCGTCGTCGGTAATTACTTTACCTTGCAGAGTCGGTATCTTGTAAGCAAGTTCTTTTATGTTTATCTTATGAGCCCAGTGCAATAACGAAGACCCCGACTGAGCAATTGCTTTATGAAATAAACCTTTGGACAAAGGTGACAATAACAGTAGTTCGACACTCGAAGCGCCTGCACTAATACCAAAATAGTAACACTTTTAGGATCTCCACCAAAGTTTGAAATATTTTTCTGCACCCATTTTAGTGCTTCAACTTGGTCTCTCAACCCCATGTTACCAGGAGCCTCTTTTCGGTCCAGCGATAGGAAACCGAGTATCCCTAGACGGTAGTTGATACTAACAATGACAACTTCATTTTGAATTAGGTAATCAGGCCCGTGCGCTGTATCGTCGGTTCCATTGCCGTATAGAAAGCCGCCGCCATGAAGGAAGACCATGACAGGGTATTTTTTATCGCCGTCAGCGAAACATTTGGGCGTATAGACATTTAAGTACAAGCAATCTTCATGACCCTTAACCCCTATCTCTTTGTCGAACTGTGCGCATGTGTTACAGTCTTTGGACCCATCTCTTATGCCTTCCCAGGAATCCGGTGGTTGTGGTACCTTTGAAAAACAACAACTACTTTTAACTTACACTATATATACACATTACGATAAACTGCAATTAATATGCTAATTAACTTTAATGAACATTGCGTCATGTGTTATCTGATAATGAGTAGAAAGATTTAAGTAGAGAATGAAAAGAGTCAATTGGTTTGTTTTTCTGAGCTTAACTTTGCTCATTTACTGTTAATTAAACGACAAGGAACCTTCGCTTAGCGGGTGTTAGAACATGGTGAGTGTGATAACAGTGATACATTCCTGTTTCGAACTAATATGCTGCAGGAAATCGAATCATTGATAACGACGATAACATACAATTGATAAGATCTAGTCGAGGTATTTTGTTTACACACCTGTAAACACCTGTGCCCTACAAAAACATCTACAAATGCCTAGTCATCTACTAGATATTCACTGTGACACTTTTTTTTTTTCAAAAAAATTAAGGAATATGCAAAGGTTTAATGAAGGACCTATGCAAAAATCGTGAACACATGCATATAATAAAAGTTCCGTTGTGATTGTAACTAGTAGATAGATCTTTTCTCAGTAATTCACTTTAGTCGGTATTTTCGAGAAATTAAATGTGCCACTATGGTCTCTAAGTAACCCAATGAGCAACATGCGTGATGTGTGCTAGGCAGTGCAATGTAATCTCAGCATTACATCCTTGTACATAAGGACCTGTTTTCATTGACTGATTTCATTGAAACTTAGCACCAAGGTAAGTTAGTTCCTTTAACTCAAGGCACCTAAGTATTGTAGATGGAAGGCAAATACAATACTCAATAGCTACATTCACTTCGCCTTCGACGTGGAAGTGATTTGTTTAAATAAGTTATAAGGAGGCCGATAACTTAAGTAAGAAACTTTACTTTAAAGTTTAAAAAACACAAACTTTGAATGGAATTACGCATAAATCTTATACAATAGCTAATAAAAAATGCACTAGACAGGTGTTATCTAACAAAAACTATAGTCTGTATACTTACAGAGAATCTCAGGTCGCCAACAGGCGGCTTCGCGTAAGGAATTCCCTTGAAACTACAATATTCGAAGTTATCGAAATTCTTCAGCACCTTCCCCTTTATTTTACCCTGTTCAATTTCCACAATCGGTTCACCCATGATTTTTATTAGTAAATATACACAATGATGTTTAAAACAGCACTGTTTGCACAATTGTTACCGACTCTATAATAACATAACCTCAAAAATTACTTTTGCTACACCGCTGTCACTGCAGCGACAGCAGTGCCCCTTCGCTTGCTAACTTCGCATGTTGTTCCAGCTCTCAAAGGTAGATGGCGTTTGATTAAATTTTACATCGGCATTAAATACGAGAACTACGTTTTTAATGCACTGATGGCATTAAATTTTAATGTTTTACATAAAATTAATAGTTTATTTATTTATGAACTAAAATACGTTTAACTTGTACATAGAAGTACTGAGACTGTACCTACCTCATAATCTCATAATACTACGCGGAAATCGAAATAGATTAGGACATTTACGTGTGAAAGAAAATGTGACTTTTCATTGAAGTAAAATTATTCAAATTGAAATTTACAATTACGCAATCATTCGTAATTCACCTATCTCAGAAATTAAGTTTTTATAAAATTATGTCCTCATTATTTACGTTATGTCGGCATAAAGAAGTCTAAATCAATAAAATAAGCCTAACTTACTTAATTACTATAAGTACAAATCATTTATTTCAACTAACTAAGGGAGTCGTTAAACACCGTATCATTACTACTAATTATTTTAAACCAGTTTCAAATAATTCCAACGAGCATTTGCTCGAATCATTGATCTTTGTTTCGGCACCACAATTAGAACGCTTCACTAAACTGATTCGAATCCCGCGCAGCCGAGATAGCCGGATGCGCACCTGTGTTCCGTCGTCGTGTCGTGAGAACCGACCACGATCTCTGCCACAAACCCTTCATAATCCTCATCTCAATCATTTCATTATACTTTAAACCTTATTTCCTTACCATAAGGATTTAATATTTTTCTTATCCGCAAATGTATCATGGCCAGGTTCATATAAGGCCATACAGAGTTCCCTGTTGTGCCATGTTTGTTGTGTTATTTTGTACGCTTTTAACATCCGCGCTATTATCGCAACTTTTTATCGTAGATTAACCACGATTGTGGAAGAATTTCATTTTTAGGTAGGTATATTGTAAAGCACTATTTTAAAAAGGAAAATTTTTACTGTAATCACTAGTCGATCCCAATAGGTAAGTTTTAGATACATGTGTGCGTAGGAAATATCAATATACCTATCTATTTAGTCGTCATTGAAACGTGCGATTCATAACTCTCTCAAATTACTGCTCAAGCTTCAATCAATGACGTATTATATATAGACACGTCATGAACCAACATCGCGGCGCTTAAAAACGGCGAAAATACTAGATAACTACTTCTACGAGTAAAGAAAGGGAAAGAAAATATGACATCGTATAGTGGAATGCCTTTGCTAGAGGGAGATAAATATACATCTTCAGTTATGCCGACGGCACGTGACTATCGCCGGCCGCCATAAGATGGCGGGCGCCGGCGTCGAAAAAAATAAAATAAAAATAGGTTGCTTGGTGAACTTACGCATGAAATTAAATTACACATTTTGTCTTTAACTTTTGGAGTATAATTTGTACATCGTCTGAACACACACGACAACATGCTTTCTTTATGTTTCGCACAGGTTTCACACGCGATATAAATTAAAAACAAACGTAGCGTCGCGCGGCAGGTTGGTGCGTAACTAAGCGCGATGTTGTCAATTGCCTTCATTTCATGTTGTCATTTTAGAGCGCGGACAACGTATCTATAGTTTTATACATCATTGGCTTCAATTGTTTTCTTAAAGAAGCAAAATGTTTTAGAGATAATGCATACATGGAGAATAATTCAAACAAATATTTCTGGACAATCTTAAAAATTTTGGCAAAGCAGAGCGGGACACCCTACGCGCACACGTGAATAGTTTGCAAAATGCTGTGTTGTTCGTGTGAACCCGATCACGATCTTTTTACGGTTTTCGAGTCCGACAAAAAGTATTTGAATTATAATTCATTGAATCAGCCACCATGCCGGATTCCTTTGAGGCAATTTTATCTATTTATTGTCGATATCAATACAATTAATACGTGTGTGAAAATGTCGGCAGCTTTTGTATTTTTTACTCAAAAATAGGTAAGTAGTTGTAAACATATCGAGTGAATTGAATAAGAAAATGAAAGGGTTTGTTTACCTACTGATTATGAATGTTTACAATTTTTAATATAAAAGTAATATTTTTTATCATTGCACTAAATAACTATTTTTTACGAACTATTTATGCTAATTACCTCAATATTATCACTTTGCATAATCAGATAATTGGTCCAGTTAATATTAAAAGGAACTGCCTGATTACATGATAATAAGCAATCAGCGCCGCCCATGAACGACCTTTTTGGGATTCAGGTTTTTGGGAATTTGGGGATTGGGGAGGGTAAAGATTGGGCCTCCGGTAACCTCACTCACAGGGCACAACAACACAACGCTGTCGTTGTTTCACGCCGATTTTCTGTAAGGACGTGGTATCACTCCGGTCGAGTCGACCCATTCGTGGCGAAGCATGGCTCTCCCAAACTTAAAAACTCTCCTGATCAAAGTATGAGTTACGTCGTCAAAGAGCTGAAGTAGTCCGTATTCTATCCATATAATTATATTTAAGACATCGACATACATCAATAGGTATTGTTTCTGGGAAGTGAAGATCCACGTAAAATTCTTCAGTAATTCATACCGTATCGTACGTGTTGCGTGATTAAGTGTCAATTAAGTATTCAAAAGCCGTCAGGCTGTATTCGCGCTGGACAATGGCGGCTGTGCTTTCATGTGACCGCGCAAGCGCGGAGGTGGCCATAAATCGCGATGCGCGAGCGCAGCTCAGCTTCTTTTGTGTGGAGTAAGTTTGTTCGGTGTGCGGACAAGGAATAGTAAATGTGTGTGGGTGGTGCGGTGTACAATTGGTGCGCGCGCAGGTGTGTCCGAGACTGGCCGGCGCCGGCGCACATTCCTTCGGCGGTCACGGCGCCGCAGACCGAGTACGTATTTGATGATTGCGGACACGACTCATACGCGTTCCCAAACGACACTAACGTCTAAAGTATTCGATATAAATTCTGTGCGTAATCGCTCAAACTCCTTGTCAATCAAACGTGTTGTTCAATAAGTAATAATATTAATTATTTATAAACAAACCAAATCTGTATTGTCATCTTAATTTATTAATTTATTCTCATTTTATTAGGTATTGTAGTTAGATAATTCTAATACATGCCTACTTAAAAGGAAGAAGAACAAGACCAGCGCATTAAGGATATCGACGCAAAAAAACTGAATTTAATAATTTTATTACAATAGTATGTTTTTGCAGTAAAAAGTAATTGCAACAAATGACCGTCGCACAGCCTTAGAGATTTCTGCTAACATTTTGAAAATATTGATAATTATAACTAAAGTAAGAAATCTAACATTTTACTACAAATCAAATTTTACTAAATAAAATGTTATTCATCAAGAAGTTTAATAAAAGTAGGTATCTAGCTAGCACTGCTAGTGCCACCTATGAAACTTTACTTATCTCAATTGCTTTGCTACGGTTTAAATTGAAAGACATAACATAGATGGCGTTAACTGTGCTTACGTACATGTAACAATAATAAACTTATTAATATTACTTTAACATTAATCTCAGTTCCGTGTTTTTTGCAGATACAATAGTTACTTGTAAGCGTTACTCAAACTTATAAAATATTAGTTACTAGCTACTCTCGCGCGGTTTCATCCACTGCTCGGCTCCATTTAATCGTAGCGTGATCTTTTATAGCCTGTAGCACTCAGGAACATTGTACCTATATTGTATCAGTAAAAGAATTTCGGAAATCCGACCAGCGGTTCCAAAGATTACCCCCTACATACAAACATACAAACTTACAAAATTACTAATTTTACCTTTTTATAATATTAGTATAGATAAAACTAAACACTTGCTTTTTGACATATTTCCTCGTAGTGAATACTTATAAAAAAGTTATTTTTTTATTCGTTCCAAAGTGTAGGAATAAATTAGGAATCTATGGAGAAGAACGAACTCAGTAGTTACTCTTCAAGGAGAAATGGGGAATGAGAAATACGTATGTAGGTACCTACCTAATTAGCACAAAATTAGAATTTTGTCGCTTTAAATTGAGAGACTTAAGGGGTTGTTAGACCTTGTAATGACCATCAAACCAATACGGTATTGCCAGAACAAATGAAATATTAATAGGTCAGCTAAATTTACCTAAGTACAATTGACAAGGATAATGCAACAATTAAAAGTGTGTTGGATTCAATTACTTTTGTTTTACTATTTATTACTACTAAGGTCGACGTGATAGGAGCGTTAAGAATACGAAATTATGTAAAAAAAAAAGAATATTTACTTCGATAATTTTCTAACAATCACACTGCTTGATTTAAAGACACCTACTTGGTTACTTGGTGACTTACCTATGTATTACAACAATCTATTGGTTTTCTATGATAGGTAAGACTTAAACAATCTAGTGTTTTTAAGTGAGGGAGAGCCACGCCGAGGTAACTGGAGGCCCAATCCTTCCCCTCACTATCCTCAATCCTCAAATCCCTTATAGCCCACAAGAGGACGCACTTGTAGTACCTAACTCCTTTGGTATTAGGTACAATTGTCAACAGCCGGTGCCGATTGCTTACCATGCGATAATGCGTCTGCTCGTTTGCCAATCTATGTAATAAAAAAACATTAGTTATCCAAACTAATATTATAGATGAGAAAGTAACTCTGTCTGTCTGTCTTTTCTTCACGCCTAAACTACTGAACCGATTTCTGTGAAATTTGGTACAGACATAGTTTGGAACTCGAGAAACGACATAGGATAGGAGTCGCGGGCAAAAGCTTTTGTAAGTACAATAAGTGAAATGTAATTCTCAATAATCTTAAATTATAGTGAACAAAAAACATATAGGAACATTGTTTTGAAAAAATAATCAAACAAAAGTTTGAGTAAAGCTGATCTAGTTTTATATAAGAAACTTCCATCATTCATATGGCTACATGAGTACTTCCGTCTTTGAACACAGACGTTGGCGAGCTAGAAAATAAATAAATAATAAAATGGCGTCCAGAGTCAAGACGAAACAAGGTGTCTTAGTTGGGGCACGAAGAAAAACTCAAAACGACTTCGAATACGATGATTTTCTCAACATCCCTTACGCTAGACCACCCGTTGGGGAACTGCGATTTAAGGTAAGACTTTTATTTAAATGTCATAACATAATATGGTTAGCTAGAATATTGTACTAAATAAACACAGGGCAAAAAGCTTGTCTCTACGAGTGCTCTAAGTAACAATACCTACGGTGGTGAGAAAATTAGAGAAAACAAACTGAAGGTATGGGATTCATAACAATTGGTGAAAACTGTGAGTTTTGGACGTATCTATGTACAAGGAATAATCCTACTAATTATAAACGCGAAATTTTGTGAGAATGTATAGATGTATGTTTGTTATTCTTTCACGCAAAAACGGCTAGACCGATTTGGTTGAAATTTGGTATAGATAGGGAAAATCATCAAATGACTTCTCCCGCCCAAGGAAAGGCGAGAGGAAGTGTAAAACAATTATTAATACATTTTATCAACATACTACGTGGGCGAATCCGCGGGCAGGAACTAAGTAGTATAACGTATGATGTAATAAACTTTTTTATTGTATTTCTTCTAGAATCCTCAACCACCAGAACCATGGCTTGGAGAACGAAATGCTACCTTTTACAACGAAGACAATCTTTGCATACAGTACGACATATTTAAACAAAAACATCGTGGAAGTGAGGATTGTCTCTACGTTAATGTCTCCACGCCGAAAGTGCCTGCAGCAGGACTTTTAGCATTACTCCCTGTAATGGTTTTCATACATGGTGGAGGTTTTGTGTTTGGAAATGGACTTGCGAAATTCGAAAATGGGCCTGATTACTTGATTGAGCACAATGTTGTTGTCGTTACTATGAACTACAGACTCAATGCCTTCGGATTCCTGTCCCTTGATGTACCTGAGGCCTCCGGAAATATGGGACTTAAAGATCAAGTCATGGCCTTAAAATGGGTACAAGAAAATATTGAAAATTTTGGAGGAAACAAGAATGACGTCACTGTTTTTGGCATCAGTGCCGGTGCAGCCTCCGTAGAATTTCTCATGATTTCTCCTTTGAGTAGAGGTCTATTCCATAAAGCTATCTTGCAATCTGGATCAACTCTGAATCCCTGGGCATTGGACAGTCCAGACAATATAAAAGATCACACTTTAAAACTGGCGCAAGAGCTGCACTATCAAGGGCCTTTAGATGATTATCGAGCTATACATGACTATTTGATGAATGTTCCTGCCGAGCATATAAAATTAGCAAGTGCCAAAGCCACTAATCCTTCACAAGTAAAGGGAGTTTACTTTGGATTTGGACCAACAATTGAAAAAGATTTTGGAACTGGTGAAGCATTTTTAACCGAAGCTCCATATGAATTATTGCAATCTGGAAGATTCGCTAAAGTACCTGTAATGAGAGGATTTACTGACTCTGAAGGGTTTATAGAAGCTGGTACTAAGCCACAGGATATTAAAGAAGTTACTACATTAAGGAACTATGTAGATTTTTGGAGATATCCATTAAATGCTAGTGATGTTACTTATTATAATGAAAAATTGCGTCAAGTTTACGATAGTTACACTGGGGACGACATCGAACGACCAGCTATTGACTTCTTCGGAGATTTTGAGTTCGTTAGTGGTGTGATTGCAAGTTCGAAATTGATGGTTAAGCACGGTGTCCCACTCTACTTATACGAATTCACTTACGATGGCAGCCTCAATTTACTTAAAGCTTTGAACGGAGTAAATAAAACTGGTGCAGCACATGGGGATGACACAGCTTATACCATACAAATCGAGCCTGTCCCAATGTTAACACAGGATGATGTTATTGTTAGAGATAGAATTTCCAAGATGTGGACGAATTTCGCTAAAGCTGCGTAAGTACCTGTACCTAACGTATTTTATTAGATAGGATGGCAAATGACCAAAAGTACGACGTTCAAAAGTGCCTATAGTGGCCTCTTTGAAATAAATGGTTTGTCTGACTTTGACCAGACAGATCATCAAATACTCAGATCCAATACCAGAGGACTAAGTACCTAATAACGAACACAACCTCCTTGTTAGCTTAACATGTTGTCCGTTATTTCCTAAAATTGTTAAGTTTTTTCGATAATACTTTTGGCATAGCTTTTTAAAGCGAAATATTATTATTATTATGTAATTATAAATTTTACAGCGGGCACAAACATTGGCTCAACTTTAATTATATTAAATCAGAAAAAAATTATACTTATATATATATATATTTGTGTACTTCTCTAGGAATCCCACTCCGACCACAAGTCCTCTGCTACCACTACTCTGGCCACCATACAGCAGCAGCGAACAGTTCTACATGGTGATAGACAAGGAAATGTCTATCAGAGCCAAATACGCTGACGAAAAGATGCAGATATTTGAAGAGATTCTGAACAAATACCATCGATAGATGAATAAAACTGGGATTAAATTGCAAAATGTATCATTGGTATCAACATTTTTAAAGTTTTCTTCGTAAAGTTGTAATGTGTCTGTGTATTAAAATTCTCATTAGTTAGTCCCTTATTTCTACCCCATAATAAGTAAAGTCGGTAATGAAATTTGTATGTAATTGGACTTCAGATTTATGTAAGTTCTGTATGTTGTCCTAGTATTACTTGTACTTAGTTTGTAGTATGCAATTGTAACTATTAAATTATAATAAAGTAAGCCCACGTATACAGCTTAATAATTTGTGTATCTGCTGTCATTTTGACAATAGAATAGATAATTAATGCTGAAAATTATGTATTGCTTAAGTGTCGGAGAGCCAAGCTTCGGCACGAATGGGTCGGCTCGACCGGAGTGATACCACGGCCTCACAGAATACCGGCGTGAAATAACCCACAGCGTTGTGTTTCGCCGTGTGAGTGTGGTTACCGGAGGCCCAATCCCTCCCCTTCCCCTATCCCTTCCTAATCCTTATATCCGCAACCCCTATCCCCAAAAGGCCGGCAACGCACTCGTAACTCCTTTGGTGTTGCGGGTGTCCATGGGATGATTGCTTACTATCAGATAATGCGTCTGCTCGTTTGCCGACATATCCCATAAAAAAAATTGCTTTATTAATCTTTATATGTACTATGCTCTTTGGCCAATATTACTTCCTAAACACTATAAAATCTAATGTAGTTAATAGCACTAAACTGACCATTTTTGTTATAAATAAATTATTTGTATAACTCATTTTACATCGAGGGAAGTATGAAGCGACATCATATAAAAACCTCGATGTTTTATGTTTTTTTATTAAGAAATCTAAGTATGGATTTTACCAATATGATTGTACATATATGTAATCCGTTGGCTATTGTATGTATAGAAAAACTTGTATTATGTGTTACCGTGTGCCGACATAAGTTCGTTACATCATAACAATACCATTACCAACTGTACTTTACTCATCTTTTTGTTACTTATGTATGAGATTCTCAAACTTCTCACGAGAAATAGTTTGTATACTATAAGTGCCTATACTAACTTACAACATGAAAAAAACACTCCCAAAAATATGTAAGTACATTTTTTTGTTATAATAAGATAACGACCGATACTGAGGATGGTTTAATAATATTTTTAATAAATAATCAAATTAATTTTATTTTGTTTTATTTAATTCCATAAATCTAAATTATCAATCATTAAAACGCTAGATCGTCACTTGTCGCACCTTCTAAGCGTCTGTCCTCACAGCGAAATAAAATTCCCGTGAACTAAAAATGCATTTTTAATAACATATAAAGAATTGTATGTAATTCCAATTTTGATACGGCGCGGTGTAAAAATCAATCCACATGAACTTGACCTTGACCTCTTTGTTTCTGTACAATGTTTGAAATAAAATATACTTTGAGAATTTCTGACCATGTTACACATAATATAAAGTCCAAATTCTACCAGACTCACATCACTTCGTCCATGGATTTATAAATAAATAGTGTGGCAAAACATAAACCCATGACTACCAAAGTAAAAACGAAACTAGGCGTCCTTGTGGGAGCAAAAAGAAAAACTCAAAATGGTTTCGAATATGACGAGTTCCTTAACATACCTTACGCCAAACCTCCTGTTGGATATTTACGATTTAAGGTAAATATTTATTTAATATACTTCTTTTTCCGCTTTGCAATCTACACTTAGGAACGAGCAAATACATACTTATATAGCTTCACGAGAGGACAAACCGACAGACTGAGACATAAAGTTGAACTTTTTGAATATATATATTTTTTTTTTTTGTGTGGGAAAGTCATTAAATGACTTCTCCCGCCCAGGGCCGGGCAGGAGGGAGTGTCAGACTCTTACTGACTAAAAACCCCCCTGTTCCTTCTCCTGCTCTATGCCGAGGTCGCGGTGCCTCATTGCGCTATGGGGCCCCGTCTCTGGTGGTCTAATGGCTCTTTGAGGCGCGCGCGGAACGCTACGCGCCGTACGCTCGGGATATTTTTTTAGCATAAATTAAAAACCTAATACATAGATTTTTAATTCATTTCAGAGTCCCCAGCCACCAGATCCATGGCAAGAAGAAAGAAATAGCACGGTATACAGTGAGTCCAACCTTTGCATACAATATGATATTTTTAAGAGAATACCTCGAGGTAGTGAGGACTGCCTCTACATAAATGTCTCCACGCCAAAAGTCCCTACAGCAGGTTTACTAATGCACCTATTACCAGTCATGGTGTTCATTCACGGTGGAGGTTTCTTCTTCGGAAATGGTCTAGCAAAGTTTGAAAATGGTCCCGACTACCTGATAGAACATAATGTCGTTGTAGTCACCATGAATTACAGACTCAGTGCTTTGGGTTTCCTCACCTTAGACATACCTGAAGCTACCGGTAATATGGGACTAAAAGATCAAGCACTGGCATTAAAATGGGTTCAAGAAAACATTGCAGACTTTGGAGGAAATAAGGATGACGTCACAATATTCGGTATTGGTGCTGGAGCAGCTTCCGTAGAATATCATATTATATCTCATTCAAGTACAGGTCTTTTCCATAAAGCTATAATGCAATCAGGATCAGTTCTCAATCCCTGGGCTTTCGATACATCGAATAAAATTAAAGATCTTGCTTTTAAATTGGTACGACAGCTAGGCTATCAAGGTCCGCAGAACGACTCTCGTGGGATTTATGAACATTTAATGAATACACCTGCCGAACACATAGTCGCAGCAACTTATCAAATTCAAGAACTTCTTACAGCAAAAGGATTGTACTACGGATTTGTTCCAACAATTGAACAGAATTTTGGATATGAAACAGCATTTTTGACAGAAATACCATACGAGTTATTGAGCTCAGGACGATTTAACAAAGTACCAATTCTCAGAGGCTTTACTGATTCAGAAGGATTTATAATCAGTGGTCTAAAACCTCAAGACATCAAAGAAATAATTATGTTTCAAAATTATGTTGATTTTTGGCGATTTCCTTTCAATGCTACAGCTGATACTTACTATTACAATGAAAGATTACGAAATGTTTACAATAGTTACAATGGCAACGACACTGAGAGGCCTGCTATAGATTTCTTTGGAGACTTTGAATTTGTCAGTGGTATCATTATCAGCTCCAAGTTATTGGTGAAGAACGCTGTGCCAGTTTATTTATATAAATTCTCGTATGACGGTACATTGAATCTTATAAAAGCAGCAAGTCGTGTCAACAAGAAAGGAGCCGGTCACGCAGATGATACAGCATACACAATACAAATAGAGCCACTAAGGAATCTCACAGAGAGTGATGTTACCGTCAGGGATAGGATTTCAACAATGTGGACAAATTTTGCTACATTCTCGTAAGTAGTTTTTATTTATAAGCCACAATTTTATGCCTCTCAACAATAGACAGAGTGGCACATAAGCCATAACTATTAAACAATTAAAGAGCGAAAGGAAAAAGAAAAACGAGTCGCATTCCCGTGTTAACTTGTTTTTTTTTATATTTTAACAGACAGACATTTTTTTTAAGCTTTAATAGGTACTAAAAAGTTGAGTGACCATAAGTAGAAAAGTACTTACTGCTGTGAACTAATGTTCTTAACATCAATTCCCGGGTCGACAAATTATAAAGATTATATGGGTAGATATTCTGGAAAATGTTCCGTCTGAATCTGTCTAATGACTAAAAGAATGAATTTCGAATTATACCAGATGTTAATCTCAACCCATATTTTAAATTATAACACAACTAGCTTTTGCCCGCGACTTCGTTCGCGTGGTCTTCAGGTTCGTCCCGTCTAGTCTAGCTTTTTTGTTTTCTCCAAGAGTACTTACTGCATAATCTTGTTCACGTGATGTTCGGTATATTTATTTTCACTTTGTGTAATATAATGCAATCTTATATTTGTTATTATTTTAATTATTTTTTTTTTTACTTTTTATGGCACTTGTCGTTTCTATTGATTTTATTTTCATTTTTATATTAATTTTATTATTTATATCATTTTGTACTCCGAACAGCGTTACCGTATTATATAATTAGTACGTACTACTACGGGCTGGTGCTGAAAATCAGCGCCGTGGACTCGTGCCTTCGTGCTCGGGCCACAGTATTAAGCTGAGCTCCAGCCTTTTGCGCTGCGACGCACTATATGGGCTTTTTGTGTGTGTGTACCTGTATTCCTTTTATATGTCGTGGCGTAATAAATGGTTTTTCTTCCTTCTTTCTTTCTTTCTTTCTAATAAGTAAGAAATATGGTAACTAAGCACTGCAGAGCCCTAATATATATGTGGTATATTATTATATATTATATTGTGGTAAAGTTTCATTCAAATCCATTCAGCAGTTTTTACGTGAAAGAGTAACAAACATCCATACATCCATACTTACAAACTTTCGCCTTTTTAATAGTAGTAGGATTAGTGGAAACAGAATCTTACTACTTATAAAACTTACATTTCTCTTCGGCCTATAAAAATGCTATTACAATATAGGCAATACTTACCTACGTGTATCTAATGATATTTTTTCTTCTAGGAACCCGATTCCGAACACCAGTAATCTGTTGCCCCTTCACTGGCCCCCCTACAGCACCGGTGACCAATTCCTCATGGTGATCAACAAAGAACTCTCTACGTGTTCTAAGTACGCAGAAGAGCGGATACAAATATTTGAAGATATTATGAAGAAATATCATAGATAGGCATAAAACCATTTCGAGATTTTATGTAGGTACCTACTTATTAATTTTTAATAGGTTACTTTCAAAGCATAATTATGATCATAATGTTATAGTGTTTAAGTAGTTCACGTAATTTGTCCTGTCTACGTATGAGTGGACATAATATTTTTAATTGTGATTATAATATTTTATTTATATTAATAACCTCTACAGCTTTAGCCAGAGACTTCCTAACAAGTGTTCCAAATTATAATCTATCTCTGTACCAAATTCTATTTAAATGTTTAACAATTATCTCGTAGGTAAAAGAGTAACAAGCAACCATTCATGAATGGTCACAAACTTTAAAATACAAATTTTTCTTCTTTTATTATTAGTGTTAATTAATGTATGTAGGTAAGTCAGTATTTAGAGATAAAAAATTAATATACTTGTTTCAATTTTAAGCTCAAAACAACTCTTTGTCCTACAATTTCAAAATGTATAATTTTAATCTCAATAAATGATGGTAAAGCGTATTACGTCTAAAAGATCCTAAGTTGTGGATCAGGCGATAATAATAAATAGGAATTGCTACGCCGTATGCAGAAAATTATTGATACTGGGCATTTTATTGATAACGCCATCTACCTATCTTCTTCCAACTTTCAGAAAGGGCATACATATTTTTTATTAGTATTGCTACTCACTACTAGATGGCGATAGAATATCGTCACTTTCAATACATGTTAAAATTTTAATTACATCTCAAAATTCATAATTTTATGAAAGAATACTACGGATAAATGTTATCTTTATTTTTAATGCCAATCTTTTAGTTCTAAACTAAGATACCAAAAATAAAATCAATCGAAATTCAAAAATTATGTGGGAACCAGGCAACACCATAAACACATGGGTAAAATGAGATGAATGAACAATTGTCAAATTGTACAATTGCCGGTCGGTACGGAGCTCGAATATTCTAGACACAATAATTCTAGATAAAAAAATCGGCTCAGTCAATTTCTTCACTTGTTTTGAGGAAACATTAGACAAAAGACATCATGTCTAACGTAGTGAAGCGCCTTATTCCCCTGCTTGACCGAGTTCTCATCAAAAGGGCTGAAGCAGTAACCAAAACTGCTGGAGGCATCGTTATCCCTGAGAAGGCTCAGGGCAAAGTCCTGCATGGAGAAGTTGTAGCCGTAGGACCCGGAGCGAGGAAAGACAATGGTGACTTCATCCCTATACTAGTAAAAGTTGGCGACAAAGTTCTCCTTCCTGAGTACGGTGGCACCAAAGTTTCACTAGAAAACGACGAGAAGGAGTACCACCTATTCCGAGAGAGCGACATTCTGGCGAAGATCGACAACTGAATAGTGCTAGTTTTAGTTTTATTGATTCTGATTCTGTTTAGTTTAAATTAGAACGTATTGTAGTGAATGAACATTTGTGATTGTGTAATACGCTGCTATGTTGTGAGATGGGGTTACTGATGTTAACTATGCATTTCTTATTATAAATTTGTTACAGAAATGTTGTGTTCTTCATTTATGAATCCCAATTCAAATATTTCATCATTCACACATAACCTAAAAATGTCATAATGCTGTGCTTGGTAGGTAAATCGAACATAACCTAGTTTTGATATCGAAATACCATTTGCCACAGTTGTGGACCAGGAATAATGTATCTATTACTTCATAATGATTAGAAAATGATAAGCAATAGTTAACAAATGATAACCTTGGAATCCAATTGGAATTCATTTTACAAAGTTCATTAACCTTTTAATAAGAAATATTGCTAAAGCACACTGCCCTGCCATAATGTGATAATTTGTATTACCACAATTATCAAAAAACTATGATTTAAATTTTGCCACACCCAGTCATAAAAATGAGCTAAATCTTACATAACTTACTTTTATTTATGCTGGTGCTTCAATGTGTCTTGATAAGAAATAAAATAAACATTAAAGGCAGTACATAATTAAATATATTTCAAACAAGTCACATCTTTTGTACAACCCACATTAATTAAACTTAAATCACAGTAAATACAGTATCTGTAAAGATACAGCCGGTTTACATTAAACAATATCCATATGTATACATATTTTCTGTAAATAATCATTATTTCATTTTGTGTATATCCAAGTGCAGTATGAGAACTATGAGTGAAAATACAATTACATAATCATGGCAAGCTTTAAAATAAAATAATTACATTGCTAAGCATAATATTGTTTACTAATTATTATTGTGACTTTACTTCACTTTAGTGAGATAATATCTACCATTAATACTGAGTTAATTTCAGTTACAAAAACTTATTAGCTAGGAACAATCAGTGTTAAATATATAGGGACATTCTGAGATACTCAATGTATAGAAGCAACCAATCTAATGGTACCTACAACTAATTTACCATCTACATATAGGTTCACTCAAAACGTCATGTTAGTACTGTTTAACCGTCAATGGTATTGATCCAAGGGTCTAATAATTCATAAAATACAGAAGAAAAATGAACTTTGGAACTATAGAATTTTAAGTGTTAAATCCCTGTCTTTTGTAACTAATAGTATAGTAATAGGAAACTACTGTCTTTTTAATTTTGAGCATCATATTATATACATGTCTTTTTTTATTAATTCTATAAATAATATTAAAAAATAGATTAATATGCTTTTACAAGAGATTCATCGATTTTAATCTACATTTAATTAAAAATAGAAAATTTATAATATGTAACTGGAATATAGAGCTACAAAATAACAAATAAAACTAAAAAATTAAAGAAATTACAATTTTAAAATACTAGATTACATAAAGAGGTTTTCATCCTTATCAACCTTTTTATTTTTAAAACATTCCTTATGTTCCCCAGATATGACATTTTGCAGGCTTGGATACCATTATTGTTCTACTGTACTTATGATGTTTTGAATGATCCTATCTTTATGGTAACTTTTTTAAGCATATCCATATTTTAGTGTTTGTAACCTGATTGTCCCTATATATTTGATACTGACTGCATTTATGACTTATTTATATGCATCATAGCATGCTTACAACATATAAAGGTACATAATAATGGCATATCAATACATCATTAAAATGCATAGTCTATTGTAAAGATATGGCAGTGCGTCTCACTGCGGCAGACAAAGCCGGATTTGGGTCTGGTGGTTCAGTAAGCAGCTGTACAGCTGTCCAACAACCATCCTCATTTGACTGGCGCAGTGCCTCCATTGTTGCTTGAACTCTTTGACCATCTTCAAATGTAGCCGCAGCCTTCACAGGTTCTTTCACCCAATCCATTTGTTCTTTGACTGGTAAGAAAGCCTCTTTCAGAGCACTAATCATCTTACAAAGTCCTTTGATATACGGTTTAGGGACTACACTAGAGGCACAACTCAAATCTTCAACATCAACATAAATTACCTCCTCTTTATCATGAGGCCTCTTTCCTTCCTCCTCAATGGACTTTGTGTTAGGCTTGTGTAGTTTACCATGTAGGTCCCCACCCTTTACAACCAAATAACCTTTCTTGCTACACACATATATTTCTTGGTTAAAGCAAGGTCCAGGCAAATGGTTATTCAGTGTTGCTGTTACAAGCAAACCTTTATCCATTTGTAATTGGAATGTACAAAAGTCAGGTGCAGTAATCTTCCTTATTCCATTTACTTTACTTGTTTCTTCTACAAAAGTCCTCAGAACTCCATGTACTTTGACAACTTTTTGTCCAGTCAAGAAGGACACTAAATCTATGACATGGCTACCAACTAATGTAAGTGTTCCTCCACCCATAGTGTCATCACAGAGCCAATTGTATGAATCACCAATCAGAGGTCCCATCTGAACTCTAACATCCACCAAAGTCAACTCATCTGGATTGCCCAAGTAGCCTTCATTGATACACTTTTTCATATGACTGAAAGCTGGCAAGAAACGTAAGGAATGATTAACTATGGATATAAGAGTAGGATAGTACTGAGCGGCACGCACCATTTTTAAGGCTTCAGCCTGACAGAGCCCAGCAGGTTTGTCACAAACAACATGTTTGCCAATACCTAACGCCTTCACTGATATTTGAGCATGTAAGTTTGGCGCACATACAATAAATACTAAACTGACATTCTTCTTCAGCAAAACATCATCAATTTTGTTTGTGAAAAAAGGTATCTTCAGTTCTTTGGCAGCTAGTTCTGCTTCTTGTACAGTGACACCCCATATAGCTTCAACGGGAAATCCTTTTTCTCTTAAGAATGGCACCAAAACCTTCGCAATAGCTCCAGTTCCAAAAACCCCAATTCCCGGTAACATTTTTATATAGGCACACAGCTCAAGCCGGTGGGCCTATAGAAACTTGCACTAATAAAGTCTATTTATCTCGAATTTCCCACTCAACATAATAACAATCTCAAGAATGTTGGTCAATAATATAAACACAATACAATACACAAAAACTTCACTAGAAATAGAACAATATTCGTACCTATTCAATGAAAACGAGAGCTAGTGATGTACATTGGACTTGCAATTTCGATATCTAACACGATGCCAGATTTTTATACGCAAACAGGAAATATCTTTGGAATAGAATTTTATAAATCGTCAGACCACTAATTAATTTCTTTATAATTTCGATAAGAATGATTTTAATTCCAAGCCGAATTTTATTTCCATTAAAATTAAGGGATACCATTTAATATCGATATCGAGATCTGTAACGATCCCAACCTACGCTGTCAAACAAGAAAATGTTTTGCTAAAACTGTCAAAATTGACGTTTACGTAGGTGTTGCATGGTCCCCTTTGTTTTATTTTTACGTGTGGCATTTCAAATTATTTTTATAATATCTACCTATTAGCTACAACTGATTTGAAATAATTTGAATATTGTTGAAATAAAATGCATTTTATAACACTCGTTCCGATTACATTATTACCATTATCGAATATTACTATTTGGCAAAAGGCAAGCACAAACCCTGAAACTGAAACAAAATTGAGGTTCTCACAGGCTCAATCCTTGTTGTGGGGCAAGCGGAATAAGGTACCGATTTCGGCCTGGAGCAGGAGAAGCAAAACTCCTTTTGGTATTACCAGTGTTCATTCACATATCACCAGGACGCAACGCAGACGGATTACTGTCTGCTCTTTTGCCTGCTCTTTTAACTATATGTATAAGTATCCTATAAATAGAACAAAGATAGCGCTGCTTACCTATTCGTCTTCATGAAAGGGTCATATTCATATTCATATTCATATTTATTTGCATTCCACAATGTATAAGAGGTGTTACAGAATGGCTTAGAGCTAAGTACTATCGTGGACCCTGTAGGGCGCAGTCGTATGAAGAATATAAATAGGTAATATTTATATTTCCTCAAATAAAAATATTGATACCTATTTAATTTCAGAAATTAACATTGAACTATTTTTCGTATTTGAATGGCTAATTACTAATTAATTAGAAAAGTAAGAGTGATTATATGTATGTTAACATAAAAAAATATATTACGTGATTACGTCATTGTTAACAAAGATAAAAATAATTATATATATGACCCGTCTCTCCTTCTGTTCGTTACCCGTAAAAACCTTTTACCTACCAACAGATAAATACCTACAGTACCTACTTACTTTAGGTATTTAGTACCTCTAGGTCAACAGCAGTTCGACGCCGCCCAAGGACACAAGCAACAGCGAAGGAGTTTTGAATGCGTTACCGGCCTTTTGGAGATTAGGGTTTCGGAAATTTATCTACCTTTAACTATGATAAATATATATAGTAAATATTGAAACCAATAAATTATTCACATTTGCGTTAAGAGATGTCCATCGTTATTAATTGTACGCGTGTAAGTGGTACAAAGAACAATATTAGTTGAGTAAACAGTAGCGCCCGCCGTAAGTCACTGTATGGCGCTTAAAACGAATCACTTTTCGTCGGAACGGTTAAATTCAATGCTTTGATATCTGCCACCTGGATTGCTAGGGTTGCTTCTACGCTAGAAATAAGTATTTCAGAAATAAAAATTCTTTACTTCTACGAATAACAGTAGAGATCCAATTGTGATAATCATCAATACATGTGTGTATTGTGTGCCTAAGAGGGGATTATAATTTATTAATTTCTTAAGTTGTTAATGTAAAAAAAGTACGCAAACGATTCAGTTCCCTCGTCAATGATCGGTTGTCATAGTAGTAGGTATATGTATAATATTAGTAGGTAATTATTATAGACTTTTTCCTTATTTGGTGTAAATTAGAACTATCATAATTATCTTCTAGGATAAAATTCTATTATAGCCTTCCAAAGGGAATGCTACATTAATTTTCGTAACGGTTTTAGCTTTAAGTTTATTGCTTAATGAGTTTATTAATTCCGTTTAATCTTCTCTCTAATGCCTCTTGCATTGTGTGGTCTTCAAAACACACTACAAACTAAAATCTATCAAAATAATAATAATAACAGTAAACATAGGTATCTTTTTGCCCTACCTGAGAAATGTAACATGCCTTTGTAGTAAGAAATAGGCGTATCATTTCTCTTATGCCAATGGGTGATTCTTCACATCAATTAAAAACAAATTAATAATGTCATTATCCTCAACCGAAAATTAACGAGTCTGCTGATTAAAACACAGATAATTATTTTATTAAATTAAATCTCACCACTGCTTACAAGCAACCGATTAAAAATATTGTATAAAATAAATTACTAAGATGCTTAAAAACCTGGGAGGATAATGACTTGTTAAATAAAAGTTAAGGTTTTTTGGAGAATCACCCCAATGCCAAATGTACAGGATAAGACGTTGTGGTGCTTAAAGGGTATCAAAGAACCAACCGATACATTGCCTGAAAAAGATTTTTGTACATTTTTTGCCTTTTCGCCAACAGTGCAGCAACCCTAGTTGGATCCTATTTGCAGCAATCGTCTAACACCTCACAGTTGGAATCCGCCGCCAATCATCTCCACAATTAGGGTTGCCTGACAAGCTTATATTAAATACAACCCTCAAATTTATTATAAAAGCAAATAATTTGTCATTAGTACTACCTAACTTGGATAGTTTTTTTATCAAGGAAGTTCAGAAAGCCATTAAACCTAACTTGCTTGCTCTTGAGTTTTTAATGGACTAGATCTGGGGATATCAATTCTAGCAATATCTAACTTGTGGTAAGTTTTTTATTCAGAGGTACGCAAAATGTAACTATAGGAGCATTGGACTCATATTAGATGATATTATTATATCCAATCATTCATAGTACACACTTAATTTACTTTACTCCTAAGTCCTAAGTGACCCACACCTGGATGACCCTGGTTTGAGGAGGCCAAATATCTAATAACTTCTTCCGTCCTAGCTGGGGCAAGAAAGAGTACTAGATTCTTCCTGGGCAAAAACCTAACCAAAAACCTCTTTTCTCCTGCTGAATTGTGTTTTGCCGTGTGAGTGAGGTTACCGAAGCCCCAAACCTTCCACTGCCCCCATCCTAAAATCTCTAAACTCTTGTTGCCATAGGTGTCTAAGGAAGGACAGCTTATTGCTTACCATCAGGTAAACTGTACGCTCGTTTGCCGTACAATTACTTAAAAAAATTAACCCTTTGCTCGGTCAGAAGTCACGCTTTTGATAAGTCTAAAAGTTTATCTTAATTTGTACAAATACCTTATTAACCAAAACCACAGATCTCATTCCGTTCTAAAATGACGCAAGGGTGCATAGCACGTGTGTCGTAGAATTATTCAGAAAGTATTATATGTCGCGGAAGTGTGACCCGCGCGACTCTCTGTCAACTTTTTGTGAGACACTTCGACGGCGCTAATTGCTTCACACTTTCTTGGGTTTGATTTCATCGTCAATTTAGGAAGACGACTTTTTTTAAGGTTAAAATTAAGTAATCTGATTGATTGATCTTTCAATGATGTTGCAGTGAATTAACTGACGGATATGATGTTATATTATTAGGAAGTCTCATTGTAACTTATTTCAACTAATTACTTTTTCCTACTGCTGAAAAGTTTATTGTTTGTTTATTTACTCGTTTATTATACAATTTAATAGGAGCCGAGAAGCTAGTTATGAATAACTTGAAGCAAGGAACTCTACTTATATATGTTAAGTAAGTAGGAAGGTAAAAGCTGTATCAACAACTATATTTTTTCTGGTGATTTGCAAATGGAGCTAAAATAATAAAGAAAAACCAAATCACAAAACTTTGTTATCATGCTATGGACTTACTTAGATAATATGGAAAATTAAATCATTTATTTGAAAGACAGTTTACAATTAGATGACCCTTTTAGAATTTCTTACATTAAAAATCTAAAAAGCTTTCTCGCAACCATGGGCTATTTAGTTTATGTTATAGTAAGTAGGTATACGAAGAAACAAAAACGAAGAGCTTATATATTTTCCTGCGTGAAGCATCGTTCATTAGTCGAAGAGTAATCCTGAAGTTTGTACGGGAGGGGCGAGATTTAGCGCCGCCCAGCGGGCCCGGCCGCCCGCCTTGCGTGCGCGCAGCTCAAATGGTGAACGTCACGCTGTAAGACAAGATCAAACCCACCCCTAAAATTGTGCAAGTTTCAAATTAAAAAATATGATAGTGCAGTGTTCGTGATACAAATAATTAAAATAGTGCAATAATAAAAATGCCCAGAAAAAGAGTGAATCGATCCCCGCCTGTTGAGAAACGAACCGACGATGCGGATGACGACGATTTCTTTTTTGATGATAATCAGTCAAATTCTGGTGAGTAAAGTTATGTAGTTTAAGGGCATTCCTTTTTCTTAATATTGTTACGTATTTTGTAGCTCAACTTAATTGCCAATAATATCCCTACTTATATTGTCAGTCATGACACAGCATCCCTAGGTAGGCAGATACTTAGTGAGATGCATATCATCATGTATACATATGGATTAGTATGATATGCAGTGAATTTAAAGGTAAGTGATAAAATAGACGAATTAAAATAAATGAATTGGTCGTGCAGATTCGTTATCGATTAGATAACAAGTATCTGCTTTGAAGGACTGCACCTAATTTTAGAGATAAAATTTAGTCCGTATCCAATATTTAGGTATGTATTGACGTTTGAAACTAAAATTCCTAATAACGCAGGTCGGAGTTCACAAGAACCACAACACAGAAACGCCGCCAACGCAAGGGAACGAGCTCGAATGCGAGTTCTCTCAAAAGCATTTTGCAGGTAATTATTTTAACCCTAAGTGTTATCCATAAATTAATACATATACTTATAAAAATATTATTGGTACGAGCAATACTATCTACGTAGATAGGTAGGCACCTACCTAACCATGATTTGCCACAAAAACGTAAAACTCGTCATGATTTTGTGATTTTTACGTACAAATTGTGTTAGCTACTCAATTTCCAATTTTTATATAATAAATAAATCGTTGCTCATTACTCGGGTTTTCACTTGTGCCGTGGGTGCGTCTGCAAATATACAAAAACACGTATTAATTAATTAAATTTATCAAATAAATAAATTAAATAAAATTTATTGATAACTTTTTACAAAAGATTGTTGGACTGACATATAGTTCACACCCAGACCCCGAAAATCAATTTCTGGACACACAGATTTGTCCTGTGCGCGAACCTAATTCCTATTTATTTACGCCAGCCACCGCATTAACTGTCCAGTTCTTGGACTTAGCCTTGAGCTACCTAAATATTTGTCTTAATTAAAATTCTTAAAATTGCTTATTTATAATTTGGTACTCCCTTATAATCTAATTATAAACAAATACATTTCACACGAACAAATCTAATAGTTACATCGAGTAGGTACTAGCGATTAGTACCGGGGCCGCGTCATCTAACACTATACATATAGGTACTGGTTGAAACGAAACAAATGTGCTTACTTAATTCATTTGTTAATCATGTAAATTATTTATGACATTCAGAAACCATACTTATATTTCTTTCTTTTCTTTAAACTTCATCAGGAGGGCATGACCCAAGCACATAATTTATTCCCTATTTTGACATGTATGTTTGTATGTACAAATTAAACGAAAATTTTATGTTTCTCGACTGTGGCTAATTAGCCACATTTCATGTTGTCATTTTAGAGTGTGGACATCGTATTTATAGTTTCGTCGTATTTTTTTATACATCATAGGTTGCCGGCCGTTTCTTCGGTAATTCTGTGCCTATATGATTTTAATTGTACCTTACAATTCGAAATATAATTTTCATTTAGACTGAAGACGACATTACCCTGGGTACCAGCAGACACGAAACTCTCCAAGCTAGACACACTGCGACTAGCTGCATCTTACATAGCGCATCTGCGAGCTCTGCTACACGAACCGAGATCTGCGCATACGCCGCCGCATCCTCTCAGCCTGGTAAGTGTATCGCACGAAGTTCAACTTTATTTGTATTACGCCTTAGTTTATATTTGAATCTAGCCTTTTGTAGTACATAAGACATTACATAGCTGGTAAAATATCGTAACCATAACTACTGGGTACTTAGTATAATTAAAGCTACGCGCAAAAAGGTATGTTACATTGATTATGTCCGACTCTCTGACCCGTTCTGACTCTGACTCTGTGACTCGCCTTATAATCCCCGGATTATAAGGCGAGATGCTATGAACATCCAAGAATGTATGTATCCTTTAATTTTCAAAATCATTTTTTTTTAAGTAATAAATCGTCATGATTCTCATCGCTCTGGGTGGGGCGAGCTGGACTGTTAGACTCTTGCTGACTAATAACCACCCCGTTCCTTCTTCTGTTAAGGGTCCCGACAGGAGAAGCCGTGATATACTATTTCTTCTTTTTCCTAAATTACATTGCAACAAGCACTAAAACAAGAAGTAAATTCTCGTAGACTTCGTAGCACTTATTCGCTACGGAATGCTACGTGACTTTATAAATTCATTATGAATCTGAAGTTAGCCGATTAGCTGCGCAGTACACAATTTTGTTCCTAAAAGATTAATAATTGTGCAAACAAACGGCTAACTTCAGACTCGCCAAGATACGTCGGCCGTACTGTAAGATACCGTAATGTTCATAGTAAAGTTCGGGTACTTTGTGCGGTGGCGATATATTTTTGTTTTAGGGCTGATTTTCAATGGTTAGGTAATAGTTAAGTATCTGGGAATAATAATGATGCTGTCGCGTCAGAATATTTGTATAAGACGGTGACAGCAACAATTTTATTCCTCAGATAACATTTAGGTGACTCTTGAAAAATTAGACCTTAAATAAAAAAAAAGTTTTCGTTATAACTATTTGATAAAACATCTTCAGGAGTTTTTGCGGCAGATTTGTCTAATGGACCCACAAATGAATGATTGAAAATTGTCAATTCAACGACCAACGACCCAAACTTTCCCTTTTAGAAAACTCAATTCGAAACCTATAGAATATATCTACCTAAAGTAACACTAATAGATATAGGTAAATATCTACGTTGTAGGGTAGACTGGGTACGGTTGAAACAATTTGGCATATTTGGTTTATAATTTTTCATTTATTAACCAAATGCTCATTATGATACATGAAATTCAAATATGAAGTTTTAGCTACGATATGGCAGTGTCATTGTGGTTCTCAAATTACTATTTTTGGAAATATGTGAAATTAAAAAATATTTATAATTTGTTTCAACCGTCCCCGTGCCAGGGGCGGTTGAAACAGCGATTGGGGTCAATTGAAACACATAAAAATAAAACAATAAATACTAATGAAATATATTTTATTTATAATTAATACTAATTATATGAATAATTATCACAACATTAATCAGTATTCAAGATTTTAATACTTCTCAAACGTTTATCAGCCTTTGACTAATACCTTGTAAAGATTTAGAGTAATTACAAAAACGGTAGCATCAGAATAAACTTTAAAAACAAATAGACTTTCAAAAAAAAACTAATTAAGAGACATTTCTAAAGTTAATAAAATAACCATTGCGAATAAACTAAACGAAAATATTTTTAAATCAAATAAACTAATAAAGAAACCCCTGTTTAGATCAAATAGACATGGAGAATTAACTTAGAGAAAACATTTAGCTTAGGCATTAATCGGAGTATTCAGAGTCGGAATTATAACAAACGTAGCTAAGACCACCTTCTGTGCATTCTTCATGTGCCCACTGTTTACACAAAGTACATTGAATCCACTTCTCATATAAAGCCCAAATCGTTACCACCGGTCGCATCTCGCTTTCGAATCTATCAGGGAACATTGGTGTATACAATGCTTTTTTTGTCAGTTTCTTAGACAATATCATTTTAATAATTGTTATTTACTTTCATCGTGATAACAACTACAAATCACCAAAATATTCATCAGCGTTGTCGTTACGACAAGTTGAACATTTGAAACGACGAAAAGTTAGCACCCGGCCATTTATTAGAGAGCCGTGAATCTCATGATTGTTCTCGATATATTCCCTGTCTCAGCTGTCATCCCCTTAATCGTTCGAGGCACGAGACTCGGCCGCAATGAATTAGTGGCGGGAGAGAGGACATTTGCTAAACGCCAGCGCATGCGCTGTCGTCGCAGGATTAGTGAACACGTTCCACGAAGGTCGCATACTTGATCGATGGCCGGATTAACGTTTTGTGAACGCATCGTTAAAGAAAGCATATTTTTCAAAATAAGAAATAAGTTTTGGTTTGTGGCGATTGAAATAAACTGTCTAGATGTATGTAGTTTATTGATATAGGGGTTAATTTACTTATGAAGACCTTTTTGGTCATTGTTTAGTTAATAAAGTTTTAAGATTTGTTATAGGTTGGGGTTTGTAACGGTACAAGCTTCGTGTGTGTTCTTACAAGGACTGGAAAAATAAATATTTCGTAAAAAATCAAGAGTCACTTTTCCGACCCTTCCGTTGGGTTACAAACAAAAAAGTAAATCGGTACAAGTGGAACGGAGAAACATAGAAACAAAAAGGTTATAACAATAAACAAGAGAGTTTTACAGTGCGCACACGAGCTGACCAAAAGTTTGCAGCTGTTACGAGTATAAATAAAGTTTATCTCCGGACGTTAAAGAGATGCTCCAGTTTTATTGTTCTTACGCTGTTCCTTTGTCTTATTTACTACTTCATTACGGATATTAGGAGGTTGTGTTTCGAGTAGGTAAATTCAAAATATTCTTGAGTTTTATAAAAAATCTGCTTAATCGACGGAATTTTAGGAGAAACCTAATCTTAGATTATAGCGATCATAAAGATAATAACATTTTAGTACCCTAATAGGTACAACGTTAAGTAATAAAATAAAACTGAAACGCAATGTCCAGATACATATTTCCATAAATTATTAAATAGCCGCCGATTACAGCCTGATAGCTGATAGCCTGCCGATTTTATTTTGGCGCCAATACTGTTTTTAGAGTAACTTATCTTAGGTACGTAATGTCTAGAATTTGAACTTGTTTACCTATACCTACCTAAGTATTTAAAATATAAAAACTCCATATTTTTGTTACTTATTTGTTTAATATTTATATCTAGGTAACAACTCTGTCCCACATTTTGTTTGTTCCACATATGTTTGTTCGTCAAAAACCCGACGATGTTTGTTTGAACATAAAAAGTGCGGTCAATTTATGATGTCGCAATAAACGCATCAACATTCATATGAAATTTAGCTAATTGGGTGGTCCTTGAAACAGTTTTGTATTTAAGGGTCTTTTTATTAAATATTTGGCTTTAGTTAACCAAAAAAGTACCTATGTATCTAAGGTAGGTACCTAATACAAATAAGGAACATTAACCTAACCTAATTAATATCTACTTAGGTACTCATTCTTGATTAGAGTTTTCAATTTGACTATCTTAGCTGAGGGATGAGTAGCATAATTCACAATATTTTTTGTGATCTAACTAAGTAGGTAGAATCCTTAAGTTATCTCTGTTGGAACCTTGAAGTAAACTCCAAAAAAATCATTAGACTCGTTAATTCGACGGACGTCTTGTAATTGATCATGTTATGTCACAGTTATTCTAATTTACAACATGTCTTTTAACTTCTAAATTTCTTTCCAGGCCTGGCCATTCGCTTTCCAGCACGGAGGAACCCTGAGTTGCGCGATATCACAAAGATGGAATATCAATCCTCCAAACAACGACTCTTCTAGTAGAAACGCCCAGCCTCCGAGAGAGAATACTCAAGACAGTCATACACACTGTGACGGTTATCCAGACTATCCCGACAACGATTACGAAGAACGTTGTTATGAAGAAATGAACACGAACGAATCGTGCGCAGCAAATATGCAATACTGTAACTATGGTTACAAAGATAATTACTATGAAATGAGGAATGATATGAGGAATTCTTACGCGTCTGATAGCATGATGAACTAAGAGTACCTACTTATTGGGGGATAATTACTGGGGTCCTTGTCAAAAATTTTGGGTCAAGGACCTATTTTATCTGCCCCTTTTTAGCAATGTGGTAAAGACCAGTTTTTGTCTCCTATGACAGTGAAGATTTCGAGACTGGACCCCCTTTTGTTGAGTAAATATGCGACTTAGTTAACTCTGATCTTGCAGGCACTGTATTTATACTTTTATAATTAGGTACGCTACTGGAAGAAAGACTTACCAAAGATTATAAACCAACCAAAGAGAATGATTTTACGAAGAAACGAAGGTGAAATGTTGGCAAATAGTTATTTAATTGGTTTCTTTTTTATATTTAAATTAAACATGGAATATATACGTAAATACATAAAGCTGACTGTCTTGTCTCATTTATATAAAATAACTCTATCTATTGAAGCACCTATCATAAAATGCGAATGCGATTGAGCATAATGTTTTTGTACGTTTTAAGCATAAAATTATTATATAGCACAGATATTTATTTACCTATCTAATAGACCGTAAGTACCTACCATGAATAAGTAAGTGGTATATTGTCATTTTAATACATTTGAAACCTTGAAGTTGTGACGTAATTTGTCATCAACTTAATAATAAAATGAGGCGTTAAATAAGACACGTTCTTGGAAATCGTAAAATTAATTAATGATGTTAAATTAAGATATACAAAACACTGCGAACTTCAAAGCGCATTTCAAAGGATAAGGTATCACAGACGTATCTGCTTACATCTTGCGAAATATTTAAATATCTATTCAACTCTTAAAAGTTATGTGTGTGTTCATACAGATAATAAAAGAGTGACATGAAGAAATTTCCAGGTGTAAATATTTGATCACCGACTGCCATTTAGCTTGGATTAAAGGAGGTCGGTAGTTATCAACTTATATCCAACCAATCTTCATCTTAATCGCCTCAGTTGATAGACTTGCCGTGGAAGTCATTTACCTACTAGTAGCGGAGTCCTCACTATGTTCCGCCATTTGTCATCCTACTACATGGGTTTAGCAAACCGCCAACTACTGCGGAGTTTATGATACTCTATGGATCTTTCATATGGCTGACCTCCCACGAGGCCAAGTCCATCTGACCATGCTACTGAGGTAACTGTCTAAAAATAAAAAAATATCTAGTCACTAATTCTGTAATATATATTCAAAAAAGGGGGTTTACAGACAGTATTACTTACAAATAAAGCAATGCATCGGAACTCCGAATTTATACAAACTATTCTATTCCGGAACGCGTCCGTTAGTCATCTGAGGTAAAGTGGTAACTCGATACTTAACTAAGTAGACGTCGCGTCGCGTCGAGCAGCGACATCGCTTCGAACCTGACAAAACAAACACGAAAATAGTTGCCGCCAGAAAAAATAATGCGGAAACCACATGATGATTTCTCATTCCTTTATAGGTAAGTGTGAAATCAACCTTTAATAAATTTTGGTGAAGAGAGGATTACCGATGAATTTACCAGGTTTGTACTTGGGTATTATACGTGTAAGAGCATTTGCAACTATTATTGCAAAGATCTAACTTTATACTGAATTATGGTAATTTTGCATTGGTCAAATATCACTGGATAATTTCTGGAAGGAAGCAAGGTATCTTTAGGGTAGAGAGCGGTAATGGAAAGTCATGTTCTAGCAGGTGAAAAGTTTATTTTGTAAGTATTCATAGGTATGTATTATGCCAGAGCACACTACAAAATTATCGTTTTATTTACAACAAAATAAATGTAAAACTTAAGCGAGGCATGTTTTGGTAAAATTTGTTGAAATAATATTACACTAAATTTACAACTAAAGCGAACAATACATGTTAATCGATATTAAATGATGTTCAAACAATCATAACTTACGTACACGGGTAAGCGGCAGTAACACATCGATTAGCTTACAAAGCTAAAACATATTATTAAAAAATAAAAATTGTACATTATCTAGGAAACATTCAAATTGCTTTTTGTGGCTTATTATTCGCTAATCTTTCCATTTACTATATAAATTATATTATTACTAAAACTACGGCTATCCTGATAAGAAAATTGTAATACGGTACATAGCGTAAATTACATACAATTCAGTATTGTAGTCTAAGTTATTTGCTCATTAAATTAATGTTTTGGACATTAGCTTACGTGTCGATAACGTGGGACACGGTACATGATAGTGATTCCGATACTTCCTTATCCCTAAGTTTCTAGTCACACTCGCACTGCACTCGCACGCCACACTCATGAAGATGAATCATATTCATTCCTCGCACTAACTATACTAAAGCATTTTCGCCTGTAATGATAGTCAGATATAGTATACATTCCAATAAAATATTATCTCTACCACATTTTTGGTAGCCTCCTAGCTTTCAATTCACGCTAATTTAAACTAAAACTTTTCAAGTTCCATTTTCAAACTTCGTTCGAAGTGTTCCGAACTTCCATTCCTCGATCGTTTATGCCTAATTTTCTTTTAAAAAATATTTTTTTCTTATAACATTTTTGATTAAATACCATACAGTTTGCAAAACTTTGGAAAAGGTCTCTTAAAAAAATATGCATTCTAAAAACCAATGAAATTCATTTACTTTTGTTTAAAGTCAGTAGTTTGCACCGACTTTTTTCGAATATTGAACTAATTTGATTTTAATAAGGACTGTATAAGAATTACTATTTGAATTGAACTAAACCTTTTCTCTATAAAAATCCATCGCATCGCATCCCAAACAATCCATTCATAACACTCATCCATCACTAATTAGAAATAATATTTTATCAGTAAAATCGATTACCTCGCTATCCTTCGTCTAAGCGGCTGCATTTTCTAATTCTTCTATTGAGATATGTCCACACCTACAGTTACGTCGAAATTAACTAGTCTCATTATGAAACGATCAAACTATTACTATCTTACGTGTTCCTTTACTTTCAAACTATGAAACCCCGTTGACCTCGAAACGAGTCGAGCAAATCCGTAAGACATAAAACATAAAAATTACAATTAAAACTATGAATGTTTCTCATGAACAGATACATGATCATTCCATAACACAACCAGTACTTTTCCTGCAAATAATGTTATGTTTTTAAAACAGCATTGCTTACATAGGTAATTATACCATTTACTTCACACAAGTACAAACTTCACTAACACATTCACAACTCCGCTCAAAGCCTATCCGAACTGAGACTACCATTATAGAAAAATATATATAAGAACATACATTAGAGTATTTTTAAGCCTACGCTACACTTTCTCAAGTTATTGCATTGCTAGTTGCATACACTATAATATTGTTGCATGTTTATCGCTATATTTCGATTAATACATTTACATATTTAAACAGTACAATATAAGGTTCATATTACTATAACTCCCAGTAAATGAACACTAATAATAAAATATTACATTGAATTTCGCGACACAATTCGTTTTGATGGATGTATCTGTACATTGCTATTCAAAAATGAGCATCGAAAATCAATTCTATGCTTAAGAAAATACAGTGGAGTTTTTCCTACAACTTTTAGCGCAATTAAGTTCTATATTGAGCAAATCGTTTACAAACTGCACAACTTGTAGAGAAATTAATATTTAGTCTTAAGAAATAAAATATCATCGTCTGTCTATCAATAGAACAATCATATTTTTGAGGGCTCAAAGCATATTTTTTTCTTATACGTAAACGTTTCGATAGTTATACCAGAGCAGTGTACTCCGTTGTATAAAATTCCTGAGACCACAATAAACACATTATATCATTTATTAGAAGACTTATTTTATAAATTCAGTCACATTACCAATTTATCGTGATCTCCGTTCGGAATTTCGTTAAAAAACTATGCTTCGAGCCTAACTACCTAATACTCAAACAACCGATGTAGTGACAATTGAAAATTTAAGTTGTACTATCCATATACAAATGTGTCCTAATACAGTATCAGTGCCCGTTGCTCTATACATATTAAAATGTAGATAAAATTGAATATTCTTACCGTATTTATTAGGGATTCTTTCCCCTCACGATGAATTGTCATAAGTTAGTGGACTTTCCATACAATCTTTAAAAAAGTTTTGTTTGAGTATAAGGCAGTCTTCCTTTTTCACAGTACTTTCAACATACAGTGTCCATACTCAGCTTGTGTCGCGTAACATATCATACATTATCCACGCCTGTATATAACGACGATTATACCAAGTACATAAAGTACCAAGTACATATATAAACTTATATATAAATGCGATATACGATGCAAGTCATATATACGATACTTATAAAGTCTGTGTGATGGGAATACCACAAGAAAACATAATAAATTGTTATGTTTAGTACCACCAACTTCCGTAAGGCAAACACAGCGCTAGTGTTGTTTAAAGTCCTTCTTGTCATTTTGTAATACAAAACTAGTACCAATTTTACATCGTTAGCGGATACGTCAGGTGGGTCTGTTACATTTTTTGCCTGTGGAATATTTATTTGGATTTAGAAGTTTATTGTGGTATTCCATTCCAGTACTTGATTACACTTATACACCATATAGAAAGTCCCTGTAGAATGTCTTTTACCATGATTAAGAGAGCTTTGTTGTGATTTTCAACGTTACACTAAAGTGAATTACAAATGTATTGATATATTTAGTTATATTACAAGCTACAAGTTATACAAACTATATTATTGGTTATTACATTGATATTTTGTGCGTACCGCCATGATATAAAAGAACGTCAAATGAAGAAACACACTTTATTAGCCTTACAAAATGAACATAAATAATTAATTATGTATAATTTAATATGCCTTAAATTATCGATTCAAATCCATCATTGCATTAAATACAATAAATTAAAACATAAATTGTATACATTTTAGATTACACCGAACAAGTCCTAAGCGATAAAATTAAACGTCGCAGCATTACATACGTTATTAAATAATGGATAAACCGATAAAAATCATTTAATCAAAAATAATTGTATTTACAAAAGTCGTCGTAAAATAAGTCCTAATTATTAAAATAATTCTAGAGGGTTTGTTTTTTAATAATAATAATTTAATAATAATTATTTGCAGTCGGTATGACGTATTCGTTACGCAGCGTGTAAAGCGGGCGATGACGTAGTACATCGGACTTACTTCAGAAGTGGTAGGGGTTGCAAGCTGCGCGGCTCACCAACTACCTGCCCGAGAATATGCTGATGGAGTTCGACGCCGTACGCTTGCGGACCAATGTTGCTTCAACTGGAAATAAAAATAAATCACATTTTATAAAACACCAAATTAAGTTGTTTTTTGTGTGCCAGATGGCGCAAAAGCCTGTAAGTTCATTAATGTAGCTAACAAAAATTGAATGTCTAATGTTAAATGCTATCTAATTATCTATTAGACATACATGTCTCCCACTGCATAAGGGCCATTTGGCGAATGAAAAAGCGAGTAGCCATTATTAAGACTAATTTCGGTCTTCTGAGAACATTTATGTATAACCGTGTATTTTCATAAAGCTGCCCTATAACTTTGTTAGAATAAAGTTATCCCTTTAAAATAAAGTTATCACAAACTTACTATATTTTCTAAAAATATGACTCCAGTGCTGCTTGTTGGGGTAGTAATAAGCGTCTAGGAGAGGACAAATTTTTGGACCACAGAGTGCGCCTAGGCCCCGCCTGCATTAAGCCTGCCAAATGTTAAGCTATAATTATGAACTAGATGGCGCCTGCATCGCTTATTTCTATTGAGGGAACAAAAAGTGGTACTTAATAGCCGAAAATCTTGAAAGTTTTTTTGGGCTTTGCTGTTTATGAACAGAACGAACGTTAAATTCTTTTATTAATTTAAATATTTTTGGTATAAAACATGCATTTAAGCCTAGGACAACTCCAGTTGTTTGATCTCTATTCTCGTGGCCTCAATTGTAAAAGTGGGGTCCTGGGGAGGTGAATTCTATCATCGAAATACTTAACATGACTTAGCAAAAAAAATGAACGGGGTGTTTAAGTCATTAACGAATCTGACATTCCCTCTCTCCCTGCCTAGGGCGGGAGAAGTCAAAAAGATTTAATAAAAATATTATATAGGTATCTGCGGTAATTGCTAGCCGGCTGGGTCATAAGAAATTTCGAGAACACCAGCTGTGATAATGACGTCACAATTTACACAGGCTATCGAAGGTGTGTACATAACAGTAGGTATAGGTTAACAGACTACACATGATCAGTCATGATTGTAGGTCACGATCACCAGTGACGTAGGGATATACCTACGTAACAATTACCACCGAAGTTCGGTAACTATGGGGGCAATGATACACAAAACTATTTTTAACTATCATTCCACGACATATACCTTATCTTATCGAGGACTTGGGAAAATCCTGTAGGTACAGCTAATAGTGAAAATAATGTTTTCTTTGTGAAATCGACGTTATGCTGTCCCGCAGTTATTTACATCAAAAATTTAATTATTAATGAACAATTTTATTTCAAAGTTTTTTTTTTTTTCAAAAAACCTTTGCCCCTCACTAGGATTTTTTCTTGTGTCGTGGGTGCGTTTACAATTTCACATGCACATCACACCCAGACCCGAAACAACAATTTTTGGATCACACAAACTGTTGTAGAATAGAACCCGCGACACGTTTGGAAAATTCCTTTCTTTGAACTAGTTATCCTAAAAATGTTTACCATTTTATTTTCATTGCATGTAATTTTGGAGTGTCAATAAGTCACCTTATTACAAGAAAACTGACACATTTGGACTATTTGCTTATTTCATAAAAAAATACAATTTTCCAGCTTGATGTTGCAAGTTCATAGACATCAAAATAGACATTTCCATAATTATCTGGAAGTATGTCTATTTGCTTGAATTACAATTAATTTTAAAACTGACTTTAAATACCTATAGTACAATTTTGTATCTTTAATCTAAATAATAATACATTGTAAATACTTATTCCAACACAATAACCAAAACAAACAAGAAATGTACCGATATCTTTGTATAAAAGCAAACAGTAAACTGCTTCTTCATCATAGTACGTCAAGAATGACGAATATTGTTTGTCTAGATATACCTACATATTGTTATATATCACGATATTGCACAACTAGTTATATGTTATCATCATCTAGGGGAACAAAAGACCTTGACCGCTAATTACCTTCAAAAATATGAAACAAGAGACTTTATATAAAACTAAATTTTGCTTGCGACTTTGTTCGCGTGGAATATTAACATCCTGCAGATTTTTGGTTTAAAAACTATCCTTTGTCCTTTCCCGAGTTACAAACTATGTCTGTACCAAATTTCACACAAATAGGTTCAGTAATTTAGGCGTGAAGAAAAGACAGGCAGACACAGTTACTTTCGTATTTACAATATTATAGTTTGGATTAATTATCCTTTCTACGCATTCTAGTCGGGTTAACGTTTTTATTTGTGACCAAAGTAGTAGACATTTGAACCAATGTTATATCTTCCAAACGAACAAATAAACATTTGTGTCATTAGGTAAGAATCCTATCTTATCTATGACAAACCGATGAGTTTGTCTTTTCGTTTGATTTTAGACGTGTGTGTGTGTGTGTGACTAGCTACCACTATAGTTTTAAACAGAGTCGTTTTATAAGTTTTAACAAAATTCATTTTCTAACATCCTATATTCAGACAGATTCTTAAAACTTCGTTATAACGTTTATATAATTGCCATTATTAATAAACCTAGTATCTGTCGGTAAGAAACTCTTAGTGTATATTTGTATTATCAGGTTATTTCTGTATTATCTTACCGTTAGGTATAAACAATTCCAGAATCAGAGTAAATTAAACTTTGCACTGAACTAAATATAGACGAGAGTTCAAAGTACTGGAGTAGGTATAGAGCGGAACAATTTCTTACTATGTATTCTAAAAATAGTGACGAAGCCAATTACCTTTAATAAGCAAACTTTGGAGTCACTATTACATGTTATTGTTTAAAATTACTTTATCTTACAATCATTGTTTTTATGCATTGCATGAAAACTTGCTATCAACGCTGTTTGACTCACTTATAGATTTTAGCCAAATGTAATGTTATACATAATATGAAATAGTAGGTTTTCCCTATTGGAATTCGGTTTTCGTATCAATTTTCTACATGGAGGTTTTCCCTATTGAGTTTTAGCTTTTCATATAGGTTTTCTACATAGTTCTACTGTGGCAAAATATCATGCGATACCTACATATGTAGTTTATGTACAGTAAATCGGTTTTCCTGTTATATATTTTTGGGCATCCAACTAGGTGTCAGGGATTTGATTTGTTCACAATCTACCAAGGCATGGAAATGGTTACTTATGTTTCCCTTTACTTTTCAAAAACCTTCACCTGAAGTAGGAAACACAGCGTAAAAAGGATTATCGATATCGATCTAGCTGTTCCCTATGATATGGTGTAATACTATGAAATGGTGGGAAATTGTGTCAAATAATTACCATTAATTTCAAAGGGCCATGTTTGGCTAAGTCTAAGTACTACCTACATAACGTAATTTGTCCGTGATACACACACATACCTAACCTATTTTTCTTAAGACGAGTGTGGGGGAAATTACTTCCCTAAAAGTCTAAAATTACCCATCTCTTCACCGCCACTGCGTCACCTTAATAGACCAGCTCCAAAGACCCAACAGTATACCGTCTATTACGACACATCTTTAAAAGGTCTAAAAAGCATTGTATAATCAGTATAGGATGTACACTCACTGGTAGAATCCTGAGGTGTGAGCGGCCTCTTGATAGTCTGTTGTATAACAGCAAGCCAACCATCGCGGTCTTCGTGTGTGGTGGCTGCGAGGCAGTACGTCCGGTCAGGAGTAACCAGTTGGAAGGGAAACCGCGCGTCCTTGCAACCGTTGCCTGTGTTCGACACTTTGATGCAGTAGCCGTTGGATTCGTGACCTGAGGATAGAGTTAAAAAGGTTTTAATACTATCTACTTACTACTAACTCATTGTGATAATTATTTTACTTCGCCCATGTTTATGTTTCATGGTTATGTTCGACAACTTTTGTGCTTTCTATAGATATTAGAATAGATAAAGAATGATGGGATGATATTTTGAAAGTCATCAGAAATTCTGTAAGTAGGTACCTATGTATAAATCAGTTAAAAAACGGCAGTATCAGAATAAACAAAATATCTGCAATTCTCTTTGAAAGAGGTATGAAAGTAAAAAATAGCAATTATAGTAAATGTTTCGGAGAGCCATGCTTTGGCACGAATGGGTCGGCTCGAGTGGAGTGACACCACGGCCTCACAGAAAACCGGTGTGAAGCAACTACAGCGTTGTGTTTCAAAAGGAGAGGATACCGGAGGCCTAATCTTTACTCTCTACTAATCCCTGATCCCCAAAAGGTCCGCAACGCACCTGTAACTCTTCCGTTGCTACCGGTGGTTATGGGCGGCGCTGATTGCTTACCATCAGGTAATCCGTAGGCTCGTTTGCCTTCCTATTATATAAAAATGCCCTTTAAAAAACTAAGAAAGAAATTTCGAGAAAGCATGAAAGCGAAAGTTTTGATGGTAAAATAATAGAACCATTCAAATGAACTGGAAATATTCGAATGACCTTGTAAAAGCTTTCCGAGTGACACACAAACGCGTGTAAGTAAATCTCTGAACATAAACAACGCCATTTTTGTGACAACATCCGAGTCTTGTGAGATCTCGTCATCAATTAGCATCAGTGTAGACGTCTCAGTTTATTCAATTAAACAAATAGTGGATTTTTTGCTTGAATTTATTAACGCCCATTTGCTGTATCACGTATACAGGATGTTTAGTAGCTTATTATGATATTAAACTTTAAAGTTTCTATTGTTTCTGTCGTTAGGAGGTATTGAATAATGCCATTACGGTTTTTTTCCTGTATTGGAATGGTTTGTGGTAATATGGGAATATTTCCGACACACAAACAAGCACTAAATAGTACCTAACTAATTAAGAATTTACTAATCGAAAATTTGAAATGCCTTTATTTTATTCATGAATTGATTTCTTACATGTAAGCGTATGTACCTATTTATAACTCTTTTTTGAACAATAACGTCATTTATTTAACAACATTTGCATCCAATGTTACTAGACGAAATTGTCAAAAACTTCAGTGTTGCTACACTATTAAAAAGTTTATGTAGCTATAAAAACTTTTTTGTACTGGCCACTACCACGAAACAGACAAGATTATTGAATTAAAACTTACCAACAAAGATCTCGCCTTTAGGATAAGCATCAAGCGGCTCATCGTGGTACATGAGCTTCCTATTGTCTAATGTGAACCATCGGCGGCGATGAGCGTCCGATGGTCGAGGGCCAGTCTTCCACAGCCAACCTTCACGGGCGAAGTCCTTGGGGAGACGGAGTACCAGGTCTGATTGCGGCATCGATGGAAACGCGACCTGAAGGAGGTGCAGTTGGGCGCAGCGGATTGCTGTATACCTGTAGGAGGAAAGTTACCTACATAAATTTTTCGTCAATAATATATTGTGTCTCGCTTATATGTAGGTATGTATATATCTGCATTCCGGAATACTACTGAGAATTGCGTGCTCATCTTCAAGGTTGGGTAGTGGGCCGAAGATCGTAGTTTAAAAGGATTATATCGTAAGAGTCTATTCCATAATACTCTTACGAGATCCGCGGGAACCAAGTGGGGTTGCAGTAAACGTACCGCGGCTCTGGCCCGAAGCAGGAGAAACACCGGAGTGGTCAGCAGTCAGTAAGTCTGACACTCCCTCTCACTTTACTCGGGGAGAGAGGATAGCATTTGATGATATTCCAAAAATAAATCCCCTCAGAAAGTGTAGGGATGGTGACAGATGCTTTGTTCTATGTTAAACTATAGTACTACAAAATGTGTTTACTGCAATGTGGGAGAAAAGTTTACTGATAGGTATAATAAAAATTAATTTGAAAGAATTAATATTAGTATTTTTTAGGACTGACTTTTTTTGTAGAAATAGCTTGTTCGGTTTTCCTCATACAACAATTTGTATCTAGGAACGTGCTACACAAAAACTAGATCCAACATTCAATAAGTTAATGTTTGTCATCTTTTCGAAGAACAACATAACTATTTGTTTGTTCTTTGATTTGTTCAATGTGTAAGTATAGCTAATTACTGAATAATAATAATCAATCCATCGATTTATATAAGCTTTTGTCTAGATAAGCAGAAAATTTGTGTTTACAGAAACGGTACAAAGAAAGCTATTAGTCATAGCCAGAACTTATATATTTGGCACATTATTAAACTGTGATCTACATTTTAATGTATTATTAGAACACATATTTGTCTTAGCAGGTGTTCCGGTGTCATGGTCATTATATTTTATTAAAAACAAACAACATTAATGTATGCGTGTATCTATTTAATATGTTAATATACTTTCATTAATACGATCTCTTCGTATTTGATTTCATATGCTAAGCTTACATAGATAGATACTAGATCTATACATATGTATACATGTAGGCGTACACGCGCATCCTCCTTCCCCCATTTGGTAGTCGCGCAAAAAGGGTAATTTATACTAACAATTCGTTACGTTTACTTTATTAACATATCAAGATCATAAAAATTTATGGGAATTCCTTGAAGTACTCTCTCAAGGCTGGGGCGAATTTCCATAATTATTTAAATATACGAATTTAGGTTTCGACTTTTTTTTCGTTTAGTTTTATGGATAGATAGATAGGCAGAAGTCACTCTCAACTCGTTTATCCAGATTTAGTGTCCATGTAGTCACGCACTCATTTAATTTGGGTGCGTTATCTCTTCATTAACATAATAATATTTGGTGAGAAGCGTGGCTAATATTTCTTTTTTATTGTTTGTAAATTTATAGTCTAAGAAAATTTATCTAATTTGGGTAGCGACATTCCAGGACCCGATTTTCGATGCCTAAGAGACTTGCGGTTTTTTTTAATTTATTTATTTTATTAGGATCTCCAACAGAGAATACACATTAATATACACATAAAAATATACAATTTTGAAAGTCGTGTGCGCCTTTAATATGATACCACATCATGCAAAAAATAATACACCGAGCCTGTATTCTGGATTTCTTCTCTCCAGCCATAGACACAAACGGGCTGATGATCATAGCATTTTATTTAGGGTACAAAAGACTCTTTACAGGGCCGGTTCTAGTTCGGTGCGACCGTGCCGGGCGCATTCGCGGTGGGGGCCGAATACCGAAAGACCGAACCGAACTTTTTCAATAAACAATTGCCCCATTTTTATTTCTCGCATCACCTAAATACGTTAATAGGATCAGTACAGAGTCAGGCATGTATTTGTTAATATTGAACTTCTATTACAATGTTGACTGTCGAAGTCAGTAGGTATACCTAAGAAAATATAGGTTTTGTTTACATTAACACGACGTTTATTAGAGCCTCATCCGAAAGTGTAATGACGTCACAAAAACCCGTTACACAAAAATATAAGTCCCACGTAAATTAATTAAATAAAAGTGTTAATTAAATTGTAAAATATGGAATTTACCAGCTAATACTTTATGTAAAGATGGTGGCGCCAGTGCCCATTAGATACTTATCAGACTTATAACGTCGTTTCAATTCATAAGTATGTTTAATTTTTGTCAAACTTAAGGTAAGTACCCAATTAAATTGGAAATTACGTTAGTCGGGTTTTCCTCTGATATGGAAGCCAGGACAGAATTTTCTTGAGTGTCGTGGGTGCATTATAAAGAGAAAAACACATTCATATCACATGGAGATCGGAACAACAATTTGTGGATCACATAAAGAGTTATTCCATGTGGAAACCGAACTCTACAATACGTTGAGCAAAAGACAGCCAAGATTTGTAGGTTTAACACTGAATCATCAGGCTCCCAAATGGAGTGTCCAAAGCAACACTACTAAAACCTACCACAATAACTTTTCGTCACTTTTGTTATAAATTCTATACCCAAGAAGGAAAATTGCTTTTGGTATACGCTGCACACATAGTTAAACTTTGCGCAAACTTTCCAAAGTAAAGCCTTCCATATCTATCTAAACACATTCTACAATATACAGGGTGGTATTAACAATACGACAATAAATTAAACTGGTGCGCAGCAAGACGTTCTAAGTCTATATGTAAAAAATAATTTCAATATATCCAGTAGTTAAGACAAAACAATGCATTTTTCATTTTTAAAATTTTCAACACGATGTATTAACGCACCAACAGGTTAACGACCCCCGCAGTCCACATGTGTAGGTACAATTGTAAAGAAAATCTGTCCGTCTTGTGAAGGTATCGTTTAAGGTACGATAAATAGATTACGAGGAAAAAAACAATAATTAGGAAGGAAAAGGAGATTAACTTACCAATTGCTAATAACTTCAGGATCTTCATGGTACACGTAGATGTGCCTGGTGGACCCATCCTTCATGAACGTCAGTTGCATCGAGTTCATGTGACCGATCTTTGAAGGTGCGAACGCCACGTTCAGTTCCGACAGTTTGAGCACACCCTTTGGTTCCTTATTCTCCCTGACATGGTATCTGAAGATAAGAACACCCTTTATATAAACAATAGCTTCAAACAACAAACATTAAATCCCCCTATAAATAACACAGGTGCTTAAATAAATACCTAATATATCCCATACCTATAGCTAATTACCCTATATTCCACCATACAAAAATACTTGAACCCTCCTAAAAGATAGTGTGCAAAATAAAACCTTGAACTTTTTTATACAAGGTTGAAAATCTTTCGTAGTTTAGTCACATGTCCATTCACCTGTAAAACTTCAACTTCAAGAAAAGGCGGGAACATATTCGGCAAGCTATAATTTACGATACACCACAACCCTTGCAATTTTTTTTTTAACTTATAAAACAATGCATAAGTATAAATATTTAACTAATTTCAATAATGAAGACCCCAAAACCCTCCCAAAACCCTTTAGAGATAGAATGTCCACGAAATAAATCAAACATTGCAATGGAAGTTAGTCTGAAATCAAATCGAAAAAAATCTATTTCCTGATGGGTTCCAGAAACACAGATCTTTATCGTGAACATTATCACCCTTAAAGTCTAGAAGATCTTCAACCACAACCCAAAACCATAACCTTTCATGCAATAAATGCAGATATTTGTGGTAGGTAAGTACCCATACGACCAAGATATCGCGAGCGGCCAAGAATGTAACAATCAATTAATTAATTGTTTACAAATATATCGGCGTCCGCACAACAACCTAATGAACTTTGTAACCAAACGACGTGCAGTGACGTTCGATTGTAATCACTTGTTTACTACCATCTTATCCACCTACACTAAGCTAATCCAGCATTTATTAGTTTTCCGAACATTTACAATACGAATACGTCACTCAATCTAAACATTGATGCTTCTTCAGTAAAAATACAGACACTATAAAATGACGTCACTTTGTATAATATCACAACGTGGTGCAATTTATGTACATATGCCGAATATTTTCTCGCCTTGAACTCTCCCAACCCTGCAACTACGGCCGAGGTTTTACGGCGACCGAATGTTTCTTTCCAGAAAAGTCGACGGTGAAATCAGAAATGGATGTTTTGCAAGAAGCACACATAGTTAATGACATAGATCGCAGGCATTAAACATTTAAGAATACTATCAAATACAGAGTGGAAAAGATAGGCTGTGCCAAATTGAAACTGTAGCTTCTATGTTCGCAAAATTCTAGATAAAATTTTGCTCAGATATAGAAAAGTGAAGTAGAAAATTATTAATCTAGAATCACATACCTACCTAGTAAAGCTACAGTTTCAATTTGCAGGCTATCTTTTCAACCCCTTATATACTATCCACGTGCACATAGACGACTCTTAATTTCATAGAAAACAATACGTATATTATGACGCCCCATAAACTCGATAGTATCTCCGGCTATGAAAGTAAAATATGACTACATGCAACATAGATGGTACTGATTTGATGGTAATCCTGCACATGAAAAATGACCTTATCATGGGGTGATAGAGACGTTTATCTAACAACTCTTACCTAATTCGAGACTGACGTAAACAGTTTAATAATTATTGGAATTTTCGTTGAAATTTCGCATTCGTTCTTACCTCAAAGGACCAAAGTTTTTGACGCGGAGACGATCGATTAACCGATCGAGACAACCAGTTGTACGGCCGCAGCCGTCAGTAGCGGGATGATACCTAAGAACCAGTCCGGATATGTTTAAGCTAAACTACTTCGAAAAAAACTAGCTTTAATGCTCGTTATCATAAGGGACAAACTTCTGTAAACCTCAATAAAATCAATCTTAATGTAAGACAGCCGTTTTCATACGTAACTTTGTTGTGTTCATTAGTTTTTGCAGTCATTGCAAATACTTATAATTAATTTACCTATTTCAGCATTGAAATTTATAAAAACATATTTACTAATTCGATTGTTATGCTATAAATAACACTTTTCAGTGTAAACATGCGTCAGGGAATTACCCATTCGCGGTTGTAGTGTGCCGAAGGAATGCGATTTGTCAGCATAAAACCAACCGAGTAACGAGGTAAATTGTACTAATGTGGTGTACATCATAAACGTATTTTAAAAATGTTTTCCTACAACAATCGTATCATATTCTCGTCGCATATTTATTTTATCTTTCATGCAATCTTCTCCTTCAAGCAATAATTTGCCTGATTATAAGAATCCACATGAATTGATTTAATTTCCAACCGATGTAGTTAAGTAGTTAGATTTAATTTATTCTGCGCCTAATTATGCCTCTAATTTATTATCGCTATGTTATGTACAAATCGTTTGAGTAAACAGACGCTAACAAACAACATGGCGAAGTCGAATAACCTAATAACGCAAGGTGAAGGATATCTTTCCACACAGTGTCAACGTTCAGTGACGTGTTCTGATCAAGCCATAGTAACTATCTATTACATAAAGTACAGCTTAATCAGGAACTTGAAAAAACGTCATATACATTTTGAAACTACCCAAAACTTAAATCATATCAAAGATGTTTGCCTCAAAATTTTTAACTGGAGTGTAAAAACACAAGAGAATAGTGTCTGTGGCAAACAATTTTTTGAGTTCATAATTACGTAGTATGTCAATATTTGTTCAAGACTTGACGTAGGATAGCAATAAGAGGTGTGGAACTTTTCGTTTACGTCACACACGTACCTACTGTTTTCAACGAAAACGATTTTATCTTACTTTATCAGGAGATAAACGAAGCGCCGTCACCGAGCCGGGACATTTTCTTTAAGTATTTCATCAACCAGTGACAGTTTTATTATGTTGTTTGATATGTAACAACTTAACACATTTACAAATAATGTGCTGTGCACAACAAGTACAAAAATAGCTCATTATTTCATTACTGTGTAATTTAGATTTTGCGTCATTAGAGTGTCGAAGTAAATATCTATTTATGAAAGTGACTATTGTCCTGAAACCGCTTTATTTGGAAGTGGTTTATCAGCTTTGCCTGCCTAAATATGCACATTATGTTGCGTCTAACTTATTTTCTAGTAATTTGTATTTAAAAAGCTATTATTTAAAACTTAAATACTCATCTATTTGTAGATAGAGGTCTACGTCTGTACAACCCTGAACACAGAATGGTTCGGCACCTTTATAAATATTAACTTTTTGCGGTCCTGCCTAACGACTCAATATCCATTCGTTTTCCTGTTTTGATAATTTATTGTGATGATATTCCAGTGAAGACACACCTAGGTGTGTCTTACAGTACTAGTACTGTTCTAGAATTCTGATCACCAATGTCATATTACCTACGCTAATCGTTGAACATTTAATGAGAGTGGGTACTGGTATGAACTTTCTTTATGAACGAGAAATTTTGAATCTGAATGATTTAAAGCCAATGTAAGCTGATGTATGAAAAACAGTATTTATAGAAATATAAACAGGCAGACACATGTAACGCGAACAAAACATTGCTAGGACGAATGATAATGACGTTCACGAGCGTTATATTAGTAACAAAATGCGAAGTAACTTGTTATCTTACACAGAAAGCTTTTATATTATAAACATGGCGATTGCATTTGGTCATTTCCACCGCATTCTTTAGACTGGATTATGGGTTTGTATGCGCGTGTGTACGCGTCCTTATTCGAGGCGAGTGAGCGCGAGCGACTACGTTAGCACGAGCAGGGTTAAGTGTTTCGGCGAATCGATGTTTGAATGCGGCCAACGACCAAATGTAATTGTGTCATTATGTTCAGTTAACGATACATTTTGACTCACTTAAGGGTGTCCTCATTCTCACTTAAGACGAACTTCCTCAGCTGGTAACGGCTGTCCTCCTTCCCTCTCTTCATGAGGAATCCCTCCATGGTACCTGATAGGTAACTCTGACGTTCTGGATGGCAAAATTCTTCACGTTCATACTTTGCACGGATCCACTGCTCTATCAGTACTCTGAAAATTGTTATTTCCTCATTTTGTAATAGTTCGACTAGGAAAGAACATAATGTAAATACTAAACAAACAATTGTACAAAATATAGAATTTCTATTTTAAAGTATGACACGATCAATAGGAAAATAAGATGAGTTTCCTTATATTGGTGGCAGAGCGGACATTTAAACACAACTTTCTAAATAAAATATCAGTTTAAAACACCGAAACATTTACAATCCGGCGTAAACATTTTATAAACAGTTTATTTCCGGCCTATCGTTTTACGCTATGGGAGTTAGATAAAACGAATGTAGGTCAAGTTTTGATATTATTGACAAGTCGTGTTATGATTTACGAGTCTTGGCACTAGTATCAACTACTTTTGTGTAGGTACAACTAAACTAAATAAATACAATATAGCTTACACAAGGTTCATCAAGCGAAAAGGTAGCCTAGATTTAATAATGGTAAGCCGGTCAGCGCAAAAACCGACTAATCGGCTATCAAAACTCTTGTCAAGGGCTATTAGCGGTGCTAAAAGCATGTTTATACTCGATTTCATAAAGGTAGGATGACATAGTATTTTGAACTTACTAGTTGTAGTGATAATAAAGTAATGTTATGCAAATAAGTATATTTAGCAGCCGATAAGTTGATTTTTGCGTTGATCAGCCATTTAGAGCCCGGGTGAGTGTTTATCTATGGATCTACCTATTCCATATTAGGTACTCGTATCATTACTTTCACAAGCTTGTCTCTCAAGGGATTAATTATATTATCCCCTAGTTAGGTCTATAGGTAATAGGTAGTTTTCTAGTTATTAACTTTCCATTACTGAAAATAACATCACGAAAGCGTTATTTAGGGTCCAACCATAAAGTTTTTAATTAAATTGAATGTTAATACGAAGGTACAAAGTCATAGTTATTACTCAAATTTATTTTATACATTTATGACTAATTCTTTTAGGTTTTTAAGAGACATTATACCGTGAATGGTTAAACTTATTTACTTAGTTATAAATAAACTAAATGAACATAGTTTGTTCTAGCGTACGTTATTTGATATCGAGAGTATTTTTAGCTAACCGCAATAAGGGATTCTGTTCCAAGATAACACTTTGTTCGAGTATTCTATACTTAGTTATTCAGCTAGACTTACTACGTACTAAAGATCTAATTACTTTATCCTTAGCAAAATAGATAAAAATATATTTTCAAAACCGTTTTACGTCAGCTTAATTAAAAATAATAAAGACGTTTAATATCAAAAAGGGTCATGGTTACACATTAAAAATATGATAAGCAGTACTAATCAAATTTTTGAATTCATAGGTTATTTTTTTCTATTGATTTGGTACGGCCAGAGTTCGTGGCTAACTGGCAACTGCGCACACCAACTTCCATGATCGAACAAATAATACAGCTATCGGTTCTTATGCTTAAAAAATGTAAAAAATCACGCAAAATTGACTTCACCAGACAGGAGCTCAAATCGGACAACAGGTCCAATAATGTCGTATCATCGCCAAGAGGGGTGTGCGAAAGAGAGAAGGCAGACACTCCACATTTGACAATGACTAAGCCTAATCTGGCTATTTTGTGGTTCCTCAGCACGAAAATGTCTAAAGGTACTTACTGTGGGTCGTTCTTATTCGGTCTTCTGTAACAAGGTGGGACTCTTTCCTCGTATTTGTTCTTCGCTGCGTTGTTACCAACCTCCTTCATTCTTTGAACCTGAGAATCTTCCCAACGGTCAAGCTTGAGGTGTTTTACTTTGCTTATGTGGGCGCCCATGCCACGGTGGATACTGGCACAACGCATGCATATGAATATACCAAGGTTGTAGGATGCCCAATCAGGGTCTGAAAAAAAAATAAACCATTTGAAATCAGAACCGCGAAAATCCCGCTAAATGCATGTCGACGATGTTTACAACCTTAGAACGGCTTGCGAGTTTGTTAATAACATGATAATAACAAATTGATAAGATTATTTTCACTCATTACGCAATTTACTTTTCTTAGTTCATTTTATTCTTGACTCGACTTGTGATCAGTCATTCATCAGTCAGTCATTTAGTACTTGGGTTTAATTATACGAAGTTATATTTCTAATTACAGTCGGGCCGGCCCCGCTAAGACAAAAACTCATAACGTCGAAGAAAATATAACTGCATTGACTAATGAATGAGTCACAACTCACAACCATGTTATTCTTTCTCGTTAAATGGTAAGGTTTCCCCATTTCGTCCGCATACTTGATATGCCTCAATGGGATACTATGACTTTCCTCTAGATTTATCAAATGTCCAGTCAATTGCCGATTTAGTCCATAACACCCTTCTTCGTTTTTACTTATAAGCTACACTTAAAGATCATAAAGCAACATCGCAAGTACATACCACATCATCGAATAAAAATAATCTATAAACCAACCAAACTATTTATAAAGGAGGAAAATATTTAAATAGATTTCGAAATACATGGAAACAGCTAAAACTGTTTCACATTGTTTGTCTGTTTGTAAACGTCACGCTTTTAAACTACTGTATGGTTGAGGGTGAATGACTTTCTCTGTTACAGTTCTTAAAGGTAAATAATTAAGGTAGCCATTTGTTTTAGTATATTACTGTGCTGGATTAAATATATGTTCTATTAAAATATAGAACATTTTTAGAAGTCATATTCTTAAGTTTTTTTTCCTAAAGCAGATCTTAACAGCAGTTACTTATAATGCCTAATGAATTTTATGTTTTGTATTCACATTAACGAAGGTCTTAAGTTTTAAACCCCAGTCAAGAAGACGTTATGATCCCTTTGCTATTTCTTTAAAAATCACCTAATACCTGGCACAAAATATCCCAAAATTTATCAACCATGGTTTGAATTTACCAAGCCAAGTATCGCGTAATGAAAATTTCTCTGGATATTTGATTTGTGATTCAAAAAACATTAATCTCTAATTGTTCGAATATTGATATCCGCAACAGTATTTGAAAGCGGAAAACACAGTGACGTCATGGATCAGCAGAAAATAGAAATGGAGTAATAAATAATAAGTATAAGCAGAGACTTATGTTCTTATCAACGATTAGACCAATTTTGTTAAGATTTTAAGAATTGATTTAACTTTCTATGAGGGCTTACAAGAATGCGATTTTAGAAGAACAACAAGAATCTCTTCATTCTTTCTTTCTAGTGGATTTTTGATGAGATGATGACTATTGACGACACATAGATGTCATGCCTTATGTACCTAGTTCCAAAACGGTATCAAAAGTGTTCGCCTATATCGAAAGATACCCCTATAATGAGAGGATCCAGAAGTATTTATTTAAGTTCAATGCAGGTTGGCGTTCAAAATGGCTACGTGTGCCAATTTAATCGTGTTTAAACTGTTTAGATGAAATTTACGATATACATAGAGGCAAACAGTTACCTAAATTATTAGAAAAAATGTACTTATTATCATAACAATGTGCGTAAGTATCGAATCGCCCGCGCGCGCCTCAAAGAGCCAATAGACCACCACAGACGGGGCCCTAAAGGGCTGATGTTCAGCCGGGGTTGCGGGGTAAGCGCAATGAGGTACCGCGACCTCGGCACAGAGCAGGAGAAGGAACAGGGGGGTTTTTAGTCAGTAAGAGTCTGACACTCCCTCCTGCCCGGCCCTGGGCGGGAGAAGTCATTTGATGATTTTCCCCTCACAAAAAAAAAAAAAAAAATCGTCACACCATAGATTAAATAATATAATACCCTGACTGAATGACGTCTGTATTGTGCACAACATGGCAATTAATATAAATAGTGACGTGAAAAATCGAGAAATTACTCAATATGTGCGTATGTATTATTAAATAAGTATTTACCTAGGTATGCAAATTGGTAATAGATAGGTATTTGTTTTTTATTGTGCAGCACAGCTGTGCGATAAAATATGGCTATAGGTAGGTACGAGTTTTATTCGTCATTTATACCAGCATTTGGCAATAACTAAGCGCCTATTCACCTATGAATGAATTGATTACGTGTCGTGCACCTCTCTCTGCGAAGTCCCCTCCACTAAAAACGTACTTCGCGATGGTCCTACTTAAAATAGAACTTGATCCCCGCAAAGTTGATGAGCTGTCTGCGCTATAAAATATACTTTCGAATACCTATTCATTTGAAAAGATTTTCTGGTGGAAATAGGCGTTTCCACATTTTCGTTTCTCATCATATCCGTGTTTATAAGCATACACAAGACACAACACACCGACACGACGTCACACGGCCGCACGCACACACTAACATTTGGCCTCTGCGCCACACGTAAATAACATAACGCTATGTCACAAGACTTGGGATACCTGTTAGAAGCCAATCACCATTGTTTTAATACTTGGCCACGTGTGATTAACTGGTAGACTATTCCATTTTATAATGCCAAAATACCTGGAATCTATAAATACGCAGTTACAGTAGGTCCTTCCCGTACCTGAGAAAAGCGTGAATAACGCATGCTACCTATCTGTTTACAGCTGTGGTGGCTCATTAATCAATCAAGGTTATCTTTATATTACTTAAGTAATTTATTTATAATTCTGTTTTTAGTTTTACTAAGCGCATCGGTACCCAATTTGTATATTATCTTTATTGTAACAAATGATGAAACCTACTTCAAGAGCTTTGACACCTCGTAAATACACATTATCAACTCCTAATTAGGAAATAACAAGCTAGTTTATTCAAAGTAGGGCCTATAATTAAATTAGGTACGGCCCGAATGAAATTCGTTCATTTTAATTCTGTTTGTTTTTCTTTCATTTCATTCGTCTCGTAATTAGTCAATGGCCAAAATTTGATATTCCCCCTCGGTTTGTTGTAATTTGAATTCTGTAAAAACCGGTCTCATTAATTAAGCATTTATTATGGAGCCCCTTCTTCCCGGCCAAGTACTTACGTACCTACGTATCTGTATCCGTAGGAACAGGATTTAAATGGATGGTATGTCTTATTTTTATTACGTTAACATTCAGTTTTGTACACACTATAGTCAAATACTCAAATTGATGTGTCTTATGAGTGTAATAAAATAAACAACAATGTTCAGTCCCATCCGATCAACTGTTTCCTTTTCTTTTCTTGGTGTAGGTAACTATACAATAAAACGACTCAATTTAACGAAACGAAATTGCCAAATTTTAAGTACCAATGGGTAACACGATGATTATTTCCATCAAATTGAACATGTATTAACCACAGGACCTAGGTACTACGTAAGCGTGATGCGTGAATCATAAATGTCATAATATATTACTAAAATAAGCTTGGTTGAAACCGTATAGGATTGTTGGAGCTCGAAAATAATACAGTTTGGAAAACAATATTTTCCTCCAATATAAAATGCCGTTTTAAGGAAATATTGTGTCAACAACTTTATGTTTGTAATTAACGATGACACAATGGCCATTTTAGTATCAGCTAATCACATTAACATCATCTAGGTTTTTGGTAAAGATTTTCTAGCAAAAGAATAAATCTACATACCTACCTACCTATCGGTATTAGCGTTTCTATAAGGATGTGTAGGTAAAATTTAATTAATCTTAAATATCGAACCATCAGATCATTTTCCTATACGTCTCTCGAAGATATAATCTAGCTTGAAGTGGGTATTTGGTTGTTTCTTGAATCATCATGGTTTTGTATTATTTTTCTTGACTTGGCAAACTACTCTTTCAAACTACTCAGATATATTTTAAACTAGATATATATTTATATTACCTAGTAAATTATAACCTTCATATCACGATACAACTTGTAAATGAACAGATTAAGTGATTTGAAACACAGGTTTTCTAGAAATCTTGTGTCGAAAAGCTTAAACTAGGCACCTGAGACCTACTGGTTGTTTATTTTTATTAGTCATAATATCAAACATCTGTGACCTAATTGCAATTAAGTGCCTTATTTATATGGTTTAGATAACTTCCGAGGTCCCTATCTACTTGGGTAAATCCAAAAATCCATAGCAATTTAAGCATTGCCAAAACCATACGATCTCGGAGCAATTTGCAAGTCTGAATAGAGGAGTTTGAACATACGCCGCGCAGTAAAGACAGACATTGAAATGTAAAATTAGGTCACACTCACACGAACGCGGACGCTCACATCCTAATTTCTTAGGATACATTTATAGGTAGCACAATAATGATAAACAACTAGGTACCTATACTAAAGGGAAATCATTGCGATTGCTGCGATAAACAAATCAAGGAAAAGTTGTGCTAAACTCGGAGAAATTGCATTGCATGTCAAGGATACAGACCTACCTAGGGCAGAACCTATGACTCATACTCCGCCAGTCATATACCTGCATAAGTACCTATTTGTTATAAAACATTCGTCCACATTCTACGAAGATACCGATATCTTTTTATTTTAAACAAATGAATGTGCATGCAGATAACTTATTCTCAATTAAAGTAATGTAGATTACTTTTACGCTTGCCAATTTGTGCAGAAATACACTTACTGCGATTACAACATTATACACAGTCTATGGCAAATATTGGTTTGTTTTTATTTCAGATCAATAAACTTAGCACAGTAAAGCATTTTGCAACATAGAATAGCACATTATTGGCTGCCATTGGTGGTCACATGAAATTAATTTTCAATTAGCATTGAAATATTTCATACGTGTGTGATAGACATAATCGCACAAACATCACTGATTGTATCCTTACTACTGACTTATCTGTATGTTTTGAATCATCATAAAATGCGCTGGTCGATGATTTGTTTTCATTGAATGCATTTTACGTCGAGGTCACTGAACTCCAAAGCATGGACGCATTTACGCCCCCCGCCTATTCACCACCCCATGAAAATACCACGCACACGGAAAACACTATCACTAAAATTGTTATGAATCACTTATAACAACATACCCAGATTTCCACAATCGGCACAAACATTATTTCCACTTTTCTTTTGCAACTCCTGTAACAATTTCTGGTTATGATCTACCATCGTGGAACTTTTGCATCAATAATGAAGACATACACGCTAGCGTACGTCGCCGCTCGAAAGTCGAACGCCTCGAACGAACGCGTTCTCTGCCACTGCGCGAGGGAGCGAGCGAGACTTCGACCGACGCGCGGCGAATCGGTTCAACAAACGCCATTTCGTAGGTGAGGAATGCCATTGCATTCACACACATTTACGTTCGCTTAGCATGAATGAGATAGAAAGAGATGTCTAGTTTCGGTATATGAATGAAACCAGTGTGTAGTGGATGGTAGTGGATACTCGTAAAATCCATTTGTGTGTGTGTATAGCGTAGTAGGTACGTGATGCGATCATGCGACGCGAATACAAGCAAGCGCCCGTCTCGCGTAAATACGTGTAAATACTGGGTAGGCATCTAGGTAATACGAGTCTGTCTATAAATTACTCTTCGCATAAACTAAATACGAAGGTACGATAGTACGCTAGGTAGTTGTATCGTAGTGTGGCTGTTGTCTGTGTCATTATGCTGCTCGGTCATTGCTTCGAGAAACAGCCCGATAACACTCAAACTTTAATTAAATTCTTTTACAATTTTGCACTTAAGTACATACATCGGTAGGTAGAACCATTCATAGACGATAATGTGAATGGTTGGATAGGTATGCCGCCTAATTTCCGGTTAGGTCACGTTAGATCTTTTGAAAAATTGTTAAGAATAGAAAATAACTAGTTTTTGTGTGTTATTTATAAAGTTTCAATTTATTTCACGCATTTGTTAATATTAATTATGGTCGGCGTGAAATATTTCGTTATTAAATTTATGATAATAAAATTAAACCTATTTACGAATGTTATATACAGCAAGTTATTTCTAAGGTAAATAAACTCAATTAATTTGAATAATAAAGTAGATATGTATACGCAGTTAATTTAATATCATATCTTAGATAAATCAAATTCATAAATTATTGTGTCTACTCTATATGGTACCTTTCTCCATAAAAATAGAAAAAACTGTAGCATTTTACGTGTAAGAAAATAAACGTGTTTCTAATAAAATAACTCAAAAAGCGTTCTCATTTGTTATTTTGCACATTTATTATTGAACGTAATAATGTATTTTGTCCACGTTGATTTAATTTCCAATTAATTGCATACTGAAACAATTTAAATTAATAAATTGGTGATAAGAAATCCTTAAGTTTTAAATGTTTAAAAGTTAAATTAATTAAATAAGCAAAAAGGCAAGAGTTTATTTTAATGAAAAAAAATATTCAAATGCAAAATACCAAAGACTGTAAAAATATAATCCATTTCGGTTTTGGATAGCCGAATTTCCGAATGTAAAGTCGATTTATAAATCACTATCATTAATAATGAGATCAATAAATGTGATGGGATAAAAAGGTGATAAAATACTGAATACCCATTGCAGTAACTTTTTAAAAGTTTAATATGTCAAACTTTGCGTATTTTAGAGTTGCCACCTATTTGAGAATACCCCATAATGGTGCAAATATCGACCTTATCTAATATATCATTTAAAAAAATACATTTATTATAGATTTGAAACTGAATTATTAAACTAATAAACTTTGGAATTCGAAATGAATAAACCCACTTTTATGCATTAAAATGCTAAAAACAAAATTAACTTGCTTTTAATATCGTATTTATTAAATATAACATCATATGTTTACAATCGTTTTGTTATTTATCTAATTAAAGAAAGTAAACTATAACGTCGATTTTTAAAAACAATTACAATCTATATATATCTATATATCAAACAATCAACAGCATATAAGCAATTTAAATTATTGGGAGTTATTATATTTTCTACTGTCTGGTAACCCAGATATTTGTTATGTCAAAAATATCGACAAAGCGTTTGACTCGTAAAATATCTCGTTTGCGTTGTATTTTTAAACAATTGCATTAATTCTATAATTTAACTCTATGTAAGGAATTATTTATTTATTTTAAAGGTAAATTAAAACAGTCAAGATGGGGCGCCGATCAATAAATACCACTAAAAGTGGTAAATATATGAATCCCACGGATCAAGCAAGTGAGTATTGGTTATATTTTATAAGATTTAATGAAACATAAATATAGTCGGCTTGATAACCTACTAGTTTAACTTAATCTAAAGTTTTGAAGTTTAAATGCAAAGAGATTCTACAATACAGATTTATTTACAATTTATTCACCAAACACACACTAGCAATATATCAAAAATTTTTCTTATATTATTAATTGTTGTACAGAACTTTTTTACATCCGCTTATATTCTTCGATGTTTTTTTTTGTAATAATGACCCGAAGCTATGGCAAGCACCTTCAGTGTCTATACAAATAATCATGTTAACTCTCAATGTATAGAATGATGTTTCAAACTACAACTCTATAAGAAATATTTAGGCACCGATTCACATAAACAAATGAATAAATTATACTCAAAGTCTTATTTTCTTCAAATAGGGAAAGAGGCGAGGAAAAAGGAATTGAAAAAGAATAAACGGCAAAGGCAAATGGTGAGAGCCGCTGTACTCAAGATGAAAGATCCAACACAAATTTTAGAGGAGTTGCAGAAAATTGATGAAATGGGTAAGTTGCATAAACAGCTTCATAATGCTTTTTGAAATGAAACACTTGTCACTTTTTCTTCAGTATTGTCCATTAGGCATTAAATTCAATGAATTCATAGATAATATAAATCAGATCTTAATTCTTTTTCTCTTGTGTTCTGGGTGCGGTTACAAACATACAATTTCACATACACATTACACCCAGACCCAGAGCAACAATTTGTGGATCACACAAAGAGTTGTTCCATGCAGGGATTGAACCTGCTACACGTTGCATGGCAGCCAGTTGCCCAGCCACCGCACCAACTGTGCAGTCAAGTTAATTAATCAATGTTTAACAGCTTACTCATGTAGCTTGAAGTACAAATACATACATAAAATATGTCTACATCCAAGTTACACTGGTAGCTTGTGTTAAATGAGTTTGCATTATGTAACTTGAGGTATGCCATACATGTATAGCCATGTTAAGCTGTGAACTTATATTCATCTAGGATGAATAAATTACATCATCAGTGTCATCACACATTTATGTTGGTTGATGTTCCAATATCAAATCTTATTTTAACCAAACCACATGATTTTTGCTTATTTATTTTCTAATGCATAATTAAATTTTTACCCATATTTATTGTAAAGAAAAAGGGTAAACAATGATATGCCATAAAACATGTTTTTTTTAGTACTGGTACAGTTAGGCCAAAAATTTTTTATACTCTTATATTTAAGGAGTATAATATATATTTTGTAGTAAATGTTTTTTAAATATTGTAATAAAAACAGATTGTTAAACTTCTTATGACAAAGAGGGTAGTCTAAAAATTAGGGGTTAAACTTTTGAATTGGAGGATGTGGAGGAGATTGTGCAATCGCAATCTTATTTCTGTAATTAAATCATGAAATCCCAAGCGAATTCCGGGGTTCACGCACCTATTGTCTTTCTATTTTGTCTCATATTAACATCATTGAATGGTTCTGGGAAAGGAACTGGCAGTGTCTAAGCCCATTTATTTATTTGTTGGTATGGCATTAGTTTAATTTACGTTAAAAAAAAAAATATTCTGTTTTGTCTAGAATATAATGTACTGCAACCATCGCCTCTGAATGAAAAAGTGTTGAAAGAGAAACGGAAGAAATTAAGAGAAACATTTGATAGAGTTCTCAAGATGTATGTAAGTATATTGTTATTTTAAATGGTAGATGATTCCCTCTATCAACAATTCTTATTGATTTTATTTTTATTTTTTTACTGAAAAACTTTAAGTATTTTATTATGTTTTAGTTTTTGTATTTATAATATAATATCTATGGTCTACTTTTGTATCTGTGGTCAATTGTTTAACGTGCATGCAATTCCTATTTTATATACCAAAAATGTTGGCTATTATTATATTTTTGTTTGAAGTAGAAAACTTTTTATGCAATTTAAGACTGGTAAATAGTAACAATTTAACATATAGTTCAGCCGTGTTCCAAAGGGAATTCTTTTCTTTTACACAACATGTTCGAAAATCGAAGCATTAGTTTATAATTATGTAAAGGTTAAGTTTTATAAATAGCTTTGTTTTTCCAAAAGTTCACAAACAAGTCTATTGCATAATATTTCACAACATGGCGAAACTGTGGCTTGCAATTATTTATAGTCGAGTATACCGATTTATCAGAGTATTTAGTTAGCTTAGCAATTTATTATCATTTTTGTAATTTATTTCGGTTTTAATAACTTCTTTTGATTTCAAATTGTCCTTAAATTCGTCATTTTTCGATTAATTATGAATCTTAGCCATACCTTCTAATTTAGTTTAGTATTTAATTCATCATTATGTCTCAAATTACCACGATTTAAAGGTTAATAATGGTTTTTAGGACAAAGATGACCCAGAAAAATGGGTGGACCTCAAGCGTCAAGAAATGGAATATGAGAAAAGGAGAACACATTTAATATCATATTATGAATCCGTGAAGCATGCACAGTCTGTTCAAGTTGATGACATCCCGTTGCCAACATTACAAGTAAGTATACATAAGTACAGTAATATATGTAACTATCAGCTAACTTCTTTTTTTATTCTTTGATATTTATTTTATAAAAAAAATATAATTAAGACTAGAAATGAGGACTAGAATAGGTAGTATATAAACTGGTGAATTGGCCTTCTTGTCATCTAGGTTTGTTTGGTGAATCTATGTTAAGATATAAATTAGTTATGTAGCAACAAATAAAACCAAAGCAACAAATGTGGGAGAGCCATAGTACGGCAAAAATCGGATCGATTCGACTCATAATCGTGTTATAACTCGACGTTATACCACAGCCTCACAGAAAACCGGCGTGAAACAATTACAGCGTTGTGTTTCGCCATTCGAGTGATGTTAACGGAGGCCCAATCCTTCCCTTCCCCCAATCCCAGAATCTACAAATCCCTAATGCCCAAAAGGTCGGCAACGCACTCGTAACTCGTCTGTTGTTGCGGGTGTCCATAGGCGGCGCTGATTGCTTTACATCAGGTAACCCCGTCAGCCCGTTTGCCGACCATTCAAAAATAATGAGTTACCTATATCAGTATAATGGTATTCAAATCGTACTGTATATCCAGGTTATAAAATCATTATTATTAATTTGCGTTAGGTAGGACCCGTTCACAATAAGTTTATTTTTTTTTATTAAAATTTTTCACAACTTTGTTATTGTTTTACAACGTCCTGTATTAATATCGTAATTTAATAAAACACCCTGTACTAATAAATGGCACAATAGTCACAAAATGTTCTTACATACTTCAAATACAAACATAAGGTACGGTTTGTCCGTGCTTTTGACATTGTCATTGCTTAAAATATGTTTAGTCATTGAGAGATTCAAGTTCAATAATCGCCTTCTTTATCAACAGATAGTCATGGTTTTGATAAATCCTCGGTTTTCCTCAGTAAAACAGCGTGAACATGCATTTTTATTTTTATTGATACAAGATAGTAGGTCGAGAATTGCGTTTCATGGAATGCTTTTGAATTTAAATTCTTAATGAATTTAAATATAATATAAAGTCGTTTGAATGATGATTTTTAAAATTTTATTTGCTTGCCAAATTTCGTAACACTCTTTATAATATTTATCGTTACTAAGTGGCAATTGAAGTCAAGTTTTTCTTTAAAAAATAACTTGATTTTTATTTTAAAATAAAACACCATTATACCACTTTTGTCGTCGATTGTACTTTGTGAAAACAAAAAAAAAATATAAATAAGTGGTTACTTAAGCTAACCGTAGGAGAGTCATGCCTCGGCTTGACCGGAGTAATACCATGGCCTCACAGAAAACCGACGTAAAGCACCACTTACGTTGTGTTTCGTCCGAGGCCGAGGCCAAATCCTTTACCCCATCCTTAATCCTCAAATCCCCTATTCTTAAATCCCTAATAACCTAATATCGCACTTTTAGTAAATTCTTTGGTGTTGCAAGTGTCCATGGGCGGCGCTTATTACTTACTTCCCACCAGATAATTACTGCTCGTTTGCCGACGTATGACAAGAAAATAAGCTTTATAGCTATGTGTTAATGAGGCATTTATTACACTACAAAAATTAAACTCTGTTTTTAATACATAACTTTCGATATTTTTTAAATAAGTACTTTTTATTTACAGGTCCCAGACAACTTAATATTTAGCAATGTTCCTTCACAAATACCGTTACCAGTAGATGCGGTGCTTCCAGCCGCTGTAAAACCTATATTGAAAAAGGATTCGGTATACAAAGTAAGTTGGGAGGTTTCATATCTTTTGGCATTCATAATTTAGTATGAGTGTTTATCCATGACTGGAAAATAGAAAGAAACATACCTTACATGTATGAGTTTTTAGAATATTTATATAAGACAATTTGAATGTCTGCTTTTTTGTATTAGCTTTGCTATACACATTAAACGTAGGTACCTATATACATGTATGTATATAGTATGAAATGTATATAGGTACTAAATTTTTGCAGGTAGTAGATATTATCTACTACCTGCAAAAATTTAGTTGCAAGGTTCCACTTCACAAAGATTTACAATATATATAATGTACCTACGAGTATGTATGAAAGTTCTTAAGAAACAGTGGTATACACTGCACAAAATACTGTTGTCTAACTACAAAACTTGACATTATGATGATTTCAGAGAAAGTCAAAAAGTCAAATCTTTTATTTCAATTATACCACGATAGGCACTTTTGAATTTGAAACAAGAAAACCATTTTAAAAAGTTTGTCAGTCTAGTAGTCTAGTCAAGACAAACCTACAGACTATACTATTTCCTTGTTCCAAAGTATAAACTAATGTTTTAGGATAAGCCAGTCGGCCTGGAACCGCCCGGCGTACCACCAGGTCCGCCATGTGACTTCGAGATCTTGGTGCTAGAGAAAGAAAAGATGTTCAAGAAGGACAAAGTTGCCGCCCCTCCCCCCGTAACTACGAATAACAAAGTTCTAAGGTTCTCTGATATGCCTGATGAAGGACCCCCGGGTGAATGTGTAAGTTTTTTTTCATCTCTAGTTTACTTTATCGCCAATTCTGTTACCTGAACTTGGCTTAGATTGTGGTCACCTTCTTATAAATCAGGTTTGGCTGAAAAAAAGTAATTTTAACAAAATACTTGGAATTTAAGAACAATTATCGTCTAGGAATGGTATAAAATGAACTGAAAAGCACTTGTCACTTATTTCATTACTTTTCAAAACCAGCTTGGTCATAACGTTTATTTTTTAAATTTAGTTTTCAAGTGTTTTGAAACCAAAGCCTATGGTCCTTTCCAAACTTGCCCGTTCAGTACATCTCGTATTTGCATGAATCTTGTATAAATTTTATATAGATGAAACAAACAGGACATGACAGATGACAGACATCAGCAACAGATGACTTACATCTTACTTATCCTTATATCAAAAACACATCCATACCTCAGTGCTGACTGGGCTTTTGGTACAGCGGCGGGACATTGCCACATGTCGCGGTCTCAATTCCCGCACGGAATAATAAATACAAACATAACAAGTAATTCAAGATGCCCATCTTAAATTTCCAGTTTCCTTTTTTTTTCTAAGAATAACAAGGGAAGGAAGGGTCATATTAAAACTTATCTTTTTCTAAATTCCAGGCACCATTACCAAAGGTCCAAGTAGGAAAACCACCGGTGTTAGAGAACATCGATGGTGAGGCAGTGGATGAGGATTCCATTACCCCTGCAGCCGCAGCGGCCGCGGCAGCGACTCAAGCGCCAAAACCGACCTCCTTACAACAACGAATGTTGGCACTCTCCGGACAAAACATTGATGACTTCATGAAAGAAATGGAAGAGGTCCACAGAAAGAGGGAACGCGATAGGGCTGCTGATCTAAATGCTAGGTGAGTATTTTTATTATAACTTTCGTGAGACATTCTAAATTATTTATTATGTTTTCGGCTTACTCACGTAATAATTTGACGAGATACTCGACTAGTTTCAAGCCATGCTAGAGGCCCATATTCATGAGCAGCATTCCGCGACACGCGACTCGGCGACCGTCGCGCTGCTACTGGCTACTCGAGTAGCACTCTGGAGTGTGACACAGTTAGCGCGGTATGTAACACTGATTTTGCGTCGACCCGGGATTCGAACCCAACACCAACGCAGCTGCAGGCGGGCGAGTCTAGCGTGCCAACAGTGTCGCGCGCGCCATCGCTGCCAACACCACGGCTAGAAGAAAGTGCGCGTGAATCACGGCAGAGGGCGCGTTGGGCGCGCAGACTCGAGTAGCCAGTAGCAGCGCGACGGTCGCCGAGTCGCGTGTCGCGGAATGCTGCTCATGAATATGGGCCTCTAGCATGGCTTGAAACTAGTCGAGTATCTCGTCAAATTATTAAGCTACGTGAGTAATTGACAAAATTGAGTTCTGTTTTGTGATTATTTCAGACTAGCTAATCTCGTGCAGTTTCACCCGCTGCTCAGCTGCATTTGATCGTAGCGTGTTATTTTATAGCCTATAGAACTCAGGAACATTGTAGCTATCTACCAATGAAAGAATTTTGCGAATCCGACCAGCGGTTCCAAAGATTACCCCCTACATCCAAACTTACAAATTTTACCTCTTAAAATATTAGTATAGTCTAGTAGAATTTTCATCGCAAAATCGTTAAAAAGTTACTCATGTTTCTTGTAAAGGAATGGGGGGAGATGCTGGAGTGTGTATCTGTATGCAAGTTTAAAATCATCATGCACACCTTAATCCAACCCTAATATGTATGGCGACCTTTATTTTCTTGTTTAATCCTTGTTTCGGCTCACGAAACCGGAGTAATACCACGGCTTCAAAGAAATCCAAACGTTTGTTTCGTTATGTAAGTGAGGTTATAGGTAGTCAAATGGTGAAAAGGTCGATAACACATTAGCAAATCCTCGATGTTGCGGCGTCCATGGGCGACGTAAGTTGCTTACGAACAGGTGATCTGTAGGCTCTTTAAAACGATGTATTTTGTTGTGTAGGTTGAGTGCCCTGAAGCGTACAGGCGGTGGGCGCGACAGTGACTCGGACAGCGACACGGAGGGCCCGCCCCCGCAGCACGTGCCGCACCACGCCGCGCCAGACTTCACGCTGGAGCCGCCCGGCGCCGAGCTCAGGCAGATGCCGCCGCCATTGTTACCGCCTGGTAAGGATGCAACAGTAAATTCCTCAATCATGACCAATTAAAAGATTCAATTATTCTTCATTGATTTCTATGCAAATGTAGTGAGATTTATGTATGCTTAAAATCCAACTGTAGGCACCACACTACTAACTTACTAAAGGAAGAAATTCTAGTCTAATGCGAGAAACTTACCAAACGTGGTTTATTTTCCCCTTATATCGGTGTAATTAAAATAAATGAATTGACTTTGACCATTGTCTTATCAGGTCTCCGACCCCCGCCTCTCCGGGCTCCACTGGCGCCACCTATGCGCTTGGTTCCACCTGGACCGCCGCCCGGACCTCCTGGACCTCCGCCGGGACCGCCTGGACCGCCCGGACCACCTGCAGGTAAAATATTGTTGGACTTTACTTAAAAATAATATTTGTTTCATTTATACTTTTTATAAAAAAATAATATTTATTGGATTGAATGCAGCCTTAATTTGGATAGTGAATAAATAGTAGATATTCGTCTAACACATTGTTGAGTAGTATGCACAAAAAGGGTAGTTTATTAAATTAAGTTCTATTGTTCTGTTATTTACTTAAATGTTTCTTTGTGCCATGAAATCGCCTCACAATCGCAATCGTCATTACGTTTTATTTATTTTAAACAACAAAATTAAGTCGTTTTTCTGCCATCCAAGCAGAAAAACGACTGAGATTTTATAATTAATACCAGATTTAGCCAGTCTTTTAAATAAAATCAGAACTCTTTCTAATAATGTTGGTTCCATTTCAGGTCTTCCCGGCATGCCTCGTGGTATGCTCCGTCCCCCGGGTCCACCCCCAGGCGCCCCGCCCCGCCTACTGAGGCCGTTGGTACCGCCGCCACCACCCAAACCGCATCCACAGCTTTCTGTACTGTCTGCCGCTCCACAACTGATCACGAAGAAGGATGGTCAGCAAGGTTGGTGCACTACATTACATTATGATTATGTATATAATATATGAGTACGGTCGATGAATTAATATCATAACTCAGATTGAGGATAAGCCGTTTGAGTTCGTCATCATAGAAATCTGTTTCTACGAATTTGAACTTACAGGCAGTATAAATAGATCCCTATTCAGCAAATCTACCGATACGTTATATAGGTTATTCAGACTCGCCATTAATTGTTTGGATGTCATCAAATTTTATAATTGTACTTACACTACACTAAAAATTTATATTTGGGAATAATAGTAGCCGATTTCACCAGTCCTGTAAATGTTTTTGATAAATTATTGGCCTTATAAGTTATGCAGGCATGTGTAACAGGAAAAAATGTGTGTATGTGGTACTCCATTACAATGTGTAAACCTACATCATGGTGAACATCACATTTCTTAATATCGATGTTATAAAAATTGTTTCCAGGAGCAACAATCAGCGCCAAACCTCAGATAAGGAATTTGTCCGCGGACGTCACAAGATTCGTGCCGTCAGCTTTACGAGTCAAGAGGGAAGACAAAAAGGCTAAGCCGGGACTCAAATCTGGAACTATCCAACGGCAGGCGGACATGCCCAAACAACTGCCAAGCAAGGACGATGCTTACATGCAATTTATGAAAGAAATGGAAGGGTTATTGTAGCGTTTTGAAAGACTGTTACAAAGTAGACAATATATAAAAATGGCGTATTCAATTACTTAATATGTTCATCATGCCTTGTTGAGCGGTAAATTTGTACAATGAGTGGGAAAACACTAGAATATCAAGGTATTCAAATACGTCTAATTGTTTTATTAAAAGGAGGTAAAAGAGCAGACGGATCACCTGGTGGTAAGTGATCAGCGATTAGTTGCCGACCTTTGAAAAAGTAGTAGTATGCACGTTGAATGTTTTCGTCTTTAAATATCCCTTTTTTGTTGAGATTCCTCCCGAATCTCATCAAATGACTCCTTCCGCCCTGAATGAGGCGAGAGTGTGTGTCAGACTCTTACTGACTAAAAGCTACCGAACATTAACCCTGTTGTAGGAGGAGGTAGGGAGGGAGACCTATTATTATACTCGGCACGCTTTCTCTCCGCTCTACTACAAAAAATAAAAATACTTTATAATAGTTTTACCGAATCTTGCTCGGTATTTACAATTACTCAAATAAATGAGTCAAATTGAATCTGATGAAGTTTGAAATCGGTTTCAAAATTTGTCCCTTTTGGATACCTTGGTATACTCCACTTATACATATTTCCATCACTATAATTTGTGGTAATTTTGACAGCGGAATTATGGCATGATAGAGAAGAAAAGGAGCTACAATCACTAAAAATTCAGCAATCGATTATGCACTAATATTCTAAAAATCTGCACTGCCATTAGTTCATTTCAAATTATATTATAGTAAAAGACGATCTTTATGATGTTGAAAAAGGATCAAGAGGTCTGATTTGTATTTTACTAGAAATATTATCGAAATAAAGCCCTACTTTACAGTCGGACTGCCGTGTGTTCCCAACAGATGGCGCTAATCTGTAGGTTATTATTGTCCAATCACTGTAGTTGTCAAAAAATTAAAGCCCTTATGACATCAGCTTATTGTCTATTGGAAAAAAATACGCGTCGAATTGAGATCCTCCTCCTTTTTTTGAAGTCGGTTAATAAAAGGCAAGAGTTTCTCGTTTGCGTAATCTGTTGAGCAAAATACCAGTAGTCCCCATTGGATGACGTTATAAAGTTGTTCCTGATAAGCGTTGTTAGTACATAAAAGTTTCTGAAAATTATACCTAAATATATCATTCTGCTTTAGTTAATTTAGTATACAATTAACACTGTAAAACACCTTCAGGATAGTATTATGACAATCGAAGTTTTTCATTTATTATAGAAAAATATTATACTTATCTGTATAAAAGTTTCTTAGTAAAGTGGGGACTTTCAAAACTTTACTAAAATATTAATGGACTGATGGACTCAGTTTTATGAAAACAAAGTTTTAGCGCCGTAAACATGTTTTGTAAATATTCTGTTTAGTAAGTAAGTATGGATTAATAAAATATTCAAAAATTCATATTTTTTTTATCATTTAAATCTTGTAGGAATTTGTATTTGATTTTATTGTGTTGTTGTTGCAGTGAAGTAATCAGATAACACACATTTTATTTACTCAAATTTCAAGTCTACGTAGCTGAAAGTTCAAATATTTTGGTTAGCTTTGTAGACAATACTATTAGATGCTGGCTTCCCATGACTCATAAGAAGTCTATGTCAATCTCCAATCAGCTAAATACTGATTAATCATTAAATAGCACTGTTCGACTTGGGTGCAAAATTTTTTTTATTGTGTACATAAACCTATGTTCACTGACGAACAGACTGACTGACAAGGCTATTATTCTATTTGACGTTTCAAAAGTACCTATTTATTGTTTAGTCAAAGTCAAGATCATTTATTCCAAATGATCTTGACTTGTAACTTTTAGTAGGGTTTTCTTAATATTTCCATAGTAGAGAAATAAAAACAATACACTGAAAATATGTACTGTTGCTTTTATTAATATAAGAATGTTATTTACAAATGGCAGCACGAGTTATTTTAAAAACAAAACAACAAAAAAAGTTCAATAAACTTTCCAATTTCTTTTTGTTATCTAAAACAACACGAACTGCATTATCTACTCAAACAAAAAATTATGTTGAAATGGCTCTGCAATTGCGAGAAAAACATAATATGTGTACCTACATATACCTACTATTCTATATGTAATAGTTTGGTAAATGCGTGAGAGTTTTGTTTAAAAAAACAAGACGTAGGCCAGTATTTTATTATGATTGCGTTGAACGTGATAAATTATCTTTTTAATTTATATTAAGTGTAAGTGGCCCGTGAAAATCTTTGCTGGGTTTTATATGGCACAACGGGAAATGAAAACATTAAAGAAATTTGATCAACATGACACAATTATATATAGTAGGTATCTACCACACATAATTTCATTAACAAAATATATAAACATTTATGTTTCTTACGTCGAGGCCCGTAGTTTATGGCGCCCGTTTCTCTTGCTTAAGGGTTCGAAACATGGCAATTACCAATATGACTCTCCGAGTTGTATCTATGTACTTTCTATGATTATTTAGACACTACTAACATACGGCGAAGGAAAACATCGTGAGGAAACCGGACTTATAATTTCTAATTATAAGTTTGAACTCGCCAATTCGCCTTGAGCAAGCGTGGTGATTAATGCTCAAACCTTCTCCGTGGCCTTTGCTCAGCAGTGGGCACTTATAAGCTGTTGATGATTGACTTTCAGGTCTTGCACTAAAAGACAAATAATTAATGTTTACTTGAATTATCCCTTGACAGGGCCGGCCGAATAGAGCTGTCGCTCGTCGCGTTGAATCCGAGAGACTTTACTATTAGAAGCTTCGCCAACTGGTGTCCGGGGCTATAATTAAAATTTTAGAATCAAAATCAAATTTATATGTCGGTATTCTCTTCTAAAATTCTACTCGACAGAAGACGATATTGAGCCTGATTTTCTATTGGTCATCCCAGAGTATGGTTGACATATACTTCACACATAATCATCAGCCAATAAATGCATGATGCTGAGCAAAGGTTTCTTCTCACCCGGAGAAGGTTTGAGCATTAATCATCATGCTTGCTAAAGGAGGATCGGTGGTTTTAAATTTATAATTCAAGATTATAAGTCAAGGTTTTCTTACAATGTTTTCTTTCAACGTTTGTAAGTTGTGTCTAAATTCACTTAGATAGTACTGTAGGTATTAATATAACCGTGAAAAAGTCATTTTGGTACTCACGGGAGATATTAACTCCGGACTACTACGACCTGTTATTTCATATAGCTATCCATAGACCAGTATCAATTCCATGTGCTGTAAGGAACTTTCCTATTGAAATTATCTGTGTACTAGAGACTGATACCTATTAAAATTCAATAATAATGATAAAAGTCCATCTTGTTAAAGGGTTATCGTTATCGACGGCTAGAAAAATATGTACCATCTTGTCGTCATACGCAGTAGCCAGTAGGTAATCAGGTCACGTGGAAAATAGCGTAATACTTTTAATGGGGAACATGGCTATTGGTCTAATTATTCTTAGTTTCAAACGTCAAACTAAAAATGTTGTAAATAGATTTTATTTGAGAATATTACATCGCTACGTCATTTTGTTGATGGACCTATTATTAATTAATAGGTAAGTAGGTAGGCACTTTAATACATCTATTTATCATCATCATCAGCCGGAAGATGTCCACTGCTGAACAATGGGCCCCCTTAGTTCTCCACGGCGAACGACAAGTCGCCCCAATTGCATCCATTGGCTCACCGCGACTCTGACGAGGTCGACGGTCCACCTAGCAAAAGTTCTTCCATGTTACGTCTTCCGGTCCGTGGTCGCCACTCGAGCACATTTCTGACCTATCGGCCGTTAGTTCTTTGAGCGATGTGGCCTGCCCATTAGCTACTTCAGCTTGCAGATTTTATGAGCTATGTCGGTGACTCTGATCCTTTGGCTAATATATAATAGCTTCCTCCATCGCTGGCTGAGCGACTTTAAGTCCCTCTAACAGACCAGAAGTAAGGGACCACGTCTCCGTACCTATATCATCACCATGTGTATTGTACACCCTGGATTTAAGACATTGCGGGATTTTTAACGAAAAGATGTCGCGTGTCGATGTTTTTATGGACAAGCTCTAGTTTTTGCCTATTTGCCTTCGTGAAGTTGGGTAGATATCCACATAGGTACCTTTGAGCGTCTGCCGATTGGTTTGAATTAATGTTCGAACGCTTTTACTACAAAACTGCTTCCGTTGAATGATTAGTATAGAGGTTTTCAATATGAGCCCGTTAATCCAAATAAAAATGATACTAAGTACACGTGAAAAAAATAAGCCGTCATCAGCGTACACTGAAATCTAATGTTTGTTAACTATTATCAATTAACAAATAATATGCCTACAATTACAATATTATCTCTAATTTTTAATAAGTAGGTATGTTAAAGAAGCAATATTTTATTCAGTGTTTAGTTGGGATGACTTAGGTTTTTTTACAAACATTGAAATAAACAGGTGTTAGGTACCTAGGTATGTATATGAGTAATCAGATTGAGGCAATAAAGAAAGCGTGTACGACGTTCGGCGAAGTAAAACATCATCAGGAAACCTGGACCTATAATTTCCAATTGTTAAAAAGTTTGAGCAAGCGTGGTGATAAATGCTGAAACTTTCTACGTTATGAGAAGACGCCTTGGCTGAGCAGTGGGCACTTCTAGGCTGATGAGGTGTGATGCGTGATTCAAATAGGTGCGTGGCTATTCGACGTGAGAATTGTTTTATGCAACTCGCCCTTATAATCCATCCAAGGGAAAATTGACGGTAAGAGTTTACATAGGCACTTTCCGACCGATTTGATTACATCTGTGACATATTCTATGTTCTATCGGTCTAGGTAATTAACTAAACAGCAGCATTTTCCAAAAAAAAAACTACCACGTCCTCACAGAAACCCGGTGTGAAACAACCACAGCGTTGTGTTTCTCCAAATCCTAATCCCTAAAAGGTCGGCAACGCACTTTTAACTCGTTGCGGGTGTCCATGGGCGGCGCTGATTGCTTACCATCAGGTAATCCGTACGCTCGTTTGCCGGCCGATTACATAAAAAAAAAAATGAAAATACCACCAATAGAGCGACGCGAGTTTTGCGTTTTGCGTCAAGGTCCCAGGGCGGAGATCCGGCTAGGAGGCTCGCTGCCTCAAAGGAGACCGTACGGTATCCCCTTATTATCCTGACGGCCATCGCGCGCTGTGGCCTTCGCAGCGCGGCGATGTAAGTAGAGATGAAGTAGTACCTACCTATTTGTGCACTGATTCTGTAATCGCTGCAGAAACTGTAGGTACCTACTTAAATATAATTTTTGTGAATAATATCAATATTTAATGCAAATGAATTGTTTTATGTCTTTGTTATTGGAATGAGTTTTTTGTTAGCCAAATATCAATATTTTTTTGCCGGGGTTGCGGGTCAAGCGAAATGTTCGACCGCGGCCATGACAGAAGGCCTGGATAGGAGAAGGAATGGGGTGGTTTTTAATCAGTAAGAGTCCGACCCTCCCCCACAGAAGTGATTTGATGATTATCCTTTATCGAGAAATTAAATCCGTCGCTAAGACGATCCACTGGCCTAATCTTGTTTTCCCTATTCTTTTATTTCCTAGTTTTTTCAGTGTCGTTCTTGGTATGCTTGTGTATGCATAGGTATGCATAGTGCTACTACTTACTCCAGTTATATGTATTTACTATGTATATCTCCAGTCAGGAGACGAAAGTCACTTCATGTTAATGTGTCCTAGTACTAGAAATTTTTCCCAGCGGATTGTTCGCGAACCTCGAAAGAAAAGTAACCTATGTGTTATTCCGGTCTATAATGTAATCCATCTCTGTCATTTTTCAACAACATTCGTTTTGACATGAAACTGTAAATAACATCCGTAGCAGTTAGTTCGTAAGTATTAGTAGGTTTCATTTTGACGTTTCAAAAGTA